CCTAATGAGCACGTGAAACCTCACGTACATATAGACTTCCGCGCCGTACATTGTACGACTTGTATTTTGCGTATCTTAAGTATAATCAAGTTTTATTCAATAAAAAACCTTTTGATTACTTTTAAAATAGTTTTAGGGTATGTTAGAGTCGAATCCTCAGTTGAACAGGTGGAAACCCTGATTGGCTACTGGTATGATAACTGTGATCACGGCATACTCTAGTTATGGAGGAGAGAAATTGGAAAATGAAATTAGACGGAAAGTAAGAAGACAGTGGTTCAGTAATCGGCAGGTGTGCTTGAGCCTTGCTGCTTGAATACTTGAGACATGACCGCTCATTCCAGAAGCACTGATTGCGGAATGAAACTTAAGGACGACTGAAAACTATTTTTTTCTGACAAAAATTGAAAATGGAACCATTCTGCTTTCTCAATGTTTCAAACAGCGAAGAACTGTTCACTTTGAGCATAAGTACAGAAATGCTTTTTATCTGTATGATTCATATTTGGAACGAAGATTTCTTCGAAATCCTAATTCTATAAAACAAAGTAAACATTTACATCGAATTTCCAACCCTACATTTTCCTTGATAGTCTTCTCCGAGTTTAGATAACAGCAAACAAGCGATAAATCATTTCTCAAAGGTATTGATGATAAGACTATCTGTACAAAAGTTTCGAACAGTTTGATGTTGTCAAGTTCAGAACATGTATAGTAAGTTCCGATTTGGTCCTATTCTGTTCGAAACGTTTACACTTTCGATTATTTTTTAGAAAAGCATGTTCTTGCCAGCTTTTAGCTCTCAATTCCACATCAATAAAACAGTATTATCGAAGTTATGCGGGTAAACGCTGAAACAATGTTGTAAATCAATAAATACCCATTGTTCATCAATCCTGGATATACTTGAAGAAATTCAAATATTGAAGAGACTATAAAACAAAAAACTGCTAGGTCATTTCGAAAATATATTCAAGTAACGTTTTTACCTCCTGATTAATTTCATTTCATACTTCTTCCCTGCTGCTCGAAGTTCATTTCAACTCTTTCTTGTTCCGTGTTGTTTCTTCTTTCGAAATCATTCGTCTTGAAATTTTGTTAACGTCAAAAGAGGTTGCCTCATGAGCAGTGACTACAGTAGGGGTCTATGTTTTTTATTTTCAAAAAAACCTAAGACGTCTTTCTTATTTGCCATTTGATGCTTGAAGTTTCTGGCGCCGTTGTCGGTGTTGTGATAGTCTTCAGTACTGAATTTGAATGATAATCGATGAACATTAGAAGAAATATTTGATTAGATCAGGAAGCTTCCTCATCTGACAACAGTACACTTTCCGACTTCTTTATAAAATGGTTTGTTTACTATCAAACAGAAACAAAACATCGTAAAAGGACACTATAAAACGTATTTAAAAAATGATTCAAGATAAGGCTCGATTTAAATAAGAAAATCCTTCAACCCAACTGTGAATCCAGGATGAGAACGATTCTCGGAATATACATCTTTTGGTTCGGATTCCTGGTAGCTCCCATCAATGTAATAGTTTTTACTTTCTTCCCAAATTCATTTCTTCTTCCAGGCTTTTCCTTCTGCTTTACCTTTACAAGCATTAGCGCAATATGCCAAAAAAAACCATTTGTCAGCGTTGTCATCGGCAATCAATCATAAAGCTGTAACTATAAACCGACCTGTAGGTTCTCTACTTATTCCTCAAGTAATGTCCGGAAACGAGGATTCCACTCCCTCCGAATATCTGTTTCAACCAATTGAATCATATGATAGGCCTGCAGTAATTGGATCATACGAAGAGATCCAACCAGAACCAATTGTATTTTATGATGAGATCCAGCCCGAAACATTTGAATATTATAATGAGCTCCAGTCAGCACCATTTGCATCATACGATGAGTTCCAGTTGAATCCGGGAGCAATACCTGATTTAAGCTACTTGGATAATATTGAGAAATATCCTATTCGAGCCGAAGAAGAAATTTTAAGCTCTTTTCACGAACCACAGGATCTGCAATACACCCTGCCTTTAGAGGAAGAAAAACTCAATGTTCAGAGTTTGCTCTACGGTTTGGAACCGGCTATCGCGGAAGATAGATTGGGGCTAGAAGATCTTTTGAGACACTCCATCGAGGAACAATATGTACCTGAGGATATGAATACTGATTACACAAGTTTAGACTATATGCCTTTTAGTTCTGCAGAATACTTAGATGGCGAATACGTAGTGGATCCAGTAGACACAGACATCCAGTGGCCATTCGTAGATAGTGAAGTTTATGAGGCCACACCTGGAAAATGGAGCAATGAGAGGCACGTTGACTCGCCTTATCCTAAGGATCCACCATATTTTCCGTCGAGCATAGATAATTCGTTATATGCTTCTGCAGCAGAAGGTGTTAATGAACTTCCACAATTGAACTCGCCGGATCCTTATTCGGAGAGCTATGACACTTTGAGTACGATATTTTCATTACCGTCTCTAGCTAGTACACTTCACGATATTGAAGCAGTAATTATAAGTGAAGAATTGAGTAAAACTTTGTTGTTGCCAAATCCTGTAATAGAGGATTTCGGTCTATTTAATAGCGATTCAGAATACCTTTGGACAAATGGCGGCGGATTATTATATACCCCAGATGCTGAAACATTGCAACCGAAAACGACTAGCGATTGGAATTCGTCAGACGATAAAGAAGGCAATAGTAATTTTGAAACCTTTATACCTCTTGATTATGGCTATCCGTTTGAAGAGGCAGAAAGCGTGAAAAGTTTGGTGGAAACCGAAGAACCAGATAGGAATGTGTTTCTGCCAAACTCCAATGATAAATTACAAGTAGAAGATGAGTCAGACACAAAAAAAGAGGATTCTGGCAATGAGCAAGACCATCCTGACAATAAAGAGGAGCCTGAGAATGAGCAAGAGGGGTCTGAAAATGAAGAAGAGAAGCCTGACGTCGAAGAAGAGGAGCCTGAAAATGAGGAAGAGAAGCCTGACGTCGTAGAAGAGGAGCCTGACGATGAAAACTCTGACAGTCTGGAAGAGAAGCCTGACACTGTGGAGATGATCAAGATAAATGAAAAAATGCAGGTTCCAGGAGAATCTACAAGTGAAGCGGATGAGGCAAAACCAGATGCGGAATCAGATCGGGAGGGCAAAGCCGAGAGCACCGAAAACAGCGTTAAATCAGTTGAAGAATCGGAGATAGAGGAAGAGATTGAGAGCAAGACAGATAAGGAAATTTTCGCTAATAAACAGGAAAATGAAACAGAAGATTCTGTTGAAGTCGACGATGAGTCAAACGAAGACGACGAGAACATGGAAGAGGATAATTCCCCGGCATCAGAGGAAGAATCGTCAGAAGCTGCTGAAGACTCTTCAGAAAGCAAGCAGGATGAAGAAGCACAAGACTCCTATGAAGATTCAGAAACGGCATCCAAAAAGATCATCAGTATAAAGACGTTACCCATGCCAACCCCTAGTTTCAAGGTGGCTGTAAACTATGACAACAGTAACGAAGACTCCGAAGGTGGGTTATTGTACAAAAAAACAAAGTTAAATATTTCCTTACAGAATAATATGTAGAAGCTGAGTGAAAGAACACACTTTAAACTAATCCCATAAAAAAATAAATATTTTGTATAATTTATATATTTACAAACTTCCAGAGAGAATTGAAAACATTAATGAGAAAAACAAATAAACCAAACTAACAAAACGTTTTCTAAGATTTTGCTTTCTTTATGCTTTCATACACAGAGAATGCTTGCGCCACCATAGCACTAGGATCGCTCAAGTTGGCAGGTAATACAACTGTGTTAGATGTTTTTGCTAATTTTCCGAAAGCGTTCACGTATTGTTCAGCTACTGCCAGTGTTGCTGCACTGTTACCTTGCTGCAGGGAAAACAAATTTCATGATCACGATTAGAACTGATAAATATAAATTACCTCCTTCTGTAGAGAAGCCGCTATTTTCTCGATAGCTACAGCCCGAGCTTCAGCATTGATTCGTAATGCTTCTGCCTCACCACGAGCCACATTGATCTGAAATTGACACAATTCTTAGAATGAACACAGAACTAAATAACCTGTTCAGCTTCTGTAGCTTCAGATGCTAGGATTACTGATTGTTTTTCTCCTTCAGCTCTATTAATCGCTGCTACTCTGAGTACAATGACTTAGCAGAACGTATATATATATGAACGCACCTATGCCCTTCGGATTCCAAAATAGCAGCTCTTTTTTTCCGTTCAGCTTCTACTTGCATTTGCATAGCCTCTTGAATTTTTACAGGCATATGCATGTCACCTAATAAAAATCATACAATATCAAAATAAAAAGACGTACGAATTTCATATCTCATGCAAGTTATTCCCCATGGCTCAGCAGCTTTGTTGATTGCTGATACAATAGCAAAGTTCAACTGCTCTCTCTCTTTGAAAACAGTATCGAGACTAATCTTTCCAACCTAAATAATATTGTTATTTCGGTTTTCACCCCTGCTGAAGCAACCTCTGAGCGCATGGTTGTTTGAGCGAGTTGAGTCACAGCAAACTCCGGATCATCTACACCATAAGAAGCCTAAGCGCACGGATAATATGTTTCGGCAAACAAAGACACTAGTTTTACCTTATAAGGATCGAAAACTCTCAAATACAAAACGCCATCAAGCTGAACTTGAACGTTGTCAAGTGTGATCGCGCCTTGTTGAGGAATCTCTATTGCTATTTCTTTCAAGCTTTGAACAAACTTGATCTTATCGATGACAGGTATTAAGAAGTTTATGCCCTGAAAAAGAAACAAATAGCTATAGCATCATGGCACATACCGGCTCTAAAATTTTGTAAAACTTTCCCATGCGTTCTACTACCCATGCCTCCTGCTGAGGTACGAAGTTAATAACAGTGTTTGTGGCATGGGATTCACGATTACTTTGAACGGATGACAGAATGAACCTCAACGAATCTAACCTAGAGCTAGATAATGCTTAGTGCACTTACCTGGATCCCACTACAGTTTTCTGTAAGACATTCAATCTCTTGACCGCTAAAGCCATATCTAATCTTCAGAAAAAGTGAACAAGAAACAAGTGGTATGATAGGGAATGGTTGAGAAGAGCTTAGAAAAATAAGCCTAACACTTTGATGAAATTTAAATCTTTATTGCGTACGCATTTTCCAACTGACGATAACATCTGAGCTATGTTTTAGGTTTTATCATGTTGAAAGTTTTTTAAAAAAGTTACTAATTATATATAAACTGATTTCCTTTGAGCACATATAATGTAAGTCTTTTCCATTTTAGTTATTAAACATGTCGAAGACGAAAAAAACTGCAAAGTTCGCCCGAAAACTCTCAACAGGTAGATTGGTTAAAAAAACTGATGATAGAATGTAAGTTAACATATGAATGAGTTACTTTAACAGCCTTGTTTTTTTCAGCAAAGAAGAGAGTCGCGTAATTCGCAAAAAGAAGGAAGACGAGAATGCTGTTAAAATTATCAATACGTTTGTGAAATGAGCAATTCCATTTCTAATATACATATTTCAGACCTAAGATTTCCACAGCGATGTTTATGACATACAACACTCAATTGGGACCTCCTTTCCATGTCTTACTGGATACTAACTTCTTAAATTTCGCTGTCAAGAATAGAATCGATGTTATGACAGGGTTTATGAACTGCTTATATGCCAAGAGTAGGCATTCGAGAAAACATCCTAACTTAGGTTACTACTTCAGCAATCCCATACGTAACAGATTGTGTTATGGGAGAATTGGAGAAAGCTGGTCATCGTTTCAGAATAGCATTGAAGATTGTTAAGGACAACAGATTCCAACGATTGAAATGCGACCATAAGGGAACATATGCCGATGATTGTTTAGTTCAAAGAGTTACTCAGGTAATATAGAATTCTTTATTACTTATTACTTTCTCATAATTACAATGAATAGAATGTTTTTTTGATGAGTATCATTATAATGAAAAATCTTGCAGCATAAATGTTACATTGTGGCAACTTGTGATCGAGACCTGAAGAGAAGAATTCGTAAAATTCCTGGAGTACCCATCATGTATATAGCTCAACATCAGTTTTCAATCGAAAGAATGCCAGATGCTTTTGGAGCACCAAAGAATTAAGATTTTTATTAATTTTGGTTACCTGCTTTTTTTTGAAATGAGCTGCCAAAAGCTATGCATATAACCCTAATCGATATACTTTTGTTGCAAGGAATGAGTGAAGTATGAAAACCACAGGTTTTGCTGACGTTAATAGATCCATTTCCTGAATTTGTTGTTGTTGATTTTGATAATAAAGTTCTTAGAATTTCAGTTTTGTAAGGTATAAGAAATCACTGGGTTTATGCCCTTTTCTTTATGTCTCATGCTCATAATGCGAACGGTGAATATGAAAAACCAACACTGAAGTTTAAATATATCATCTCCAGAAATAAGTGCGAGCTTCGATTGACAGGCAAGCACTATCTATGTGAACAAAGGAGAATAAAGCCAGTATTTTTTCCTCGTATTCATCGTTCAGAGTATATTTTGAATTTGTATTATACTTGCTACAGACCTGTTCCCCCTGTGGAGGGCCAAAGTCAATCCAAAGGAACCGTCCACCATCATCACCTGTTGCTCGTATAGATTCAAAAGGTTGTTGCCATAGCATCTGTAAGTGTGTAAAATTTTTTTTGAGTTTACCCATCATGATTTCTCTTCACCTCCCCTCCTGGTCCATAAAGCGAAATTCCAACGTCTATATTGATGACTAATTCACAATTGTCTCCTCGCCAAACACATGGTGCGGAAATCTGAAATTTTCTGATAAGATATGTTATGGGATTCGATGTATGACTTGTCCGGTATCTGTGCAGGCTTCATAACTTCCTAATACGAGTGCCCTCACCCAACGAGCTAAATCCGCGTGTGTTTCAACTCGTAATGTATGAGTGCGCACTCCTTGTTGGGTACCTGTTCTGATTCTAAGAGAGATAGTGTCAGAAAGGCCTTAAAACTCTGTTCTGTTTCATATTTTACTGGTTTGATCACCTTTCAAGACCGGAACCGATCTAGATGTTGTTTGTACTACTCTTGTTGCTACTAAGGGTCGACTTAGACGTGGTTCAGCCCACTCCGATTTCAATTGAGGAACCGCGTCGTAAAATAAAAGCTCGTTCTGTGTAAGCGTTATAAAACGCGGTTTCCAAATAGTTATTCCTTCTTCCGTCATCTGAACAGTTCTAATTCTTGATATGTTTTTTTGTAGGATCTACCTGTTCTGCTACCCAACCCATCCTTCTAACTTGTGGGTGACCACCGAGCATCAAGTTTACCTGAAAGTTACAACACAACTTAGCTTCTGAACACATTAATATGTGATAGATACTATATCTTACCTGAGCTAACGCTTGCGTTAACAAGGCGCTCGTACAACCATGTATTGCTTCAAACCATGAATCAGCTTCAATAGCTGAGGAACACCGGAACGCCAGTGAATATCTTCCTGACGGGCTCCTCATCTATAATCCAACATCAAAATAAACATCGTTTCCTCATTCATTTTTAATTTAAGCCAATCTTGATTTATGCTATATGGGCACCATTTGGAACCGTTTAAGCAGAGCCTCTTCAGAATAGTGGGTTGTATCGATGTACCTCGATAATCCTTCCTTCCGCATCAGCATCAATGCCAGCTCTTGCAACATAAGCTAATTTCAATCCTATAGTCCTAATACGGTCTCTGACTTCATCATCCCAATCGATTCGCTCAACAATATTATCTCTTTTCATGTGTTCATCTCTTTTGTATTGGACTAAAAAAATAAATTGAAGTTGTTCTGAAGATACTTTCTACCATGTAAATCTACAACCCGTCCTGCTCGTTTGAGTGCTCGAACAGCATCATCGTGTGTCGCATCGATCAGACTATCTCCGTTCACTGCTAATATAGCATCCCCAACAAATAATTCTCCAGTTTGATCTGCAGCCATTCCTTTGAAAATTTTACTGAAAAGCTTGTATATTAGTTCGAAAGCTTCCTTGCCCATAAAATGTGAGTGAAGTTTAATTAACCTGATAATGATGGGCATGTTGTTGTCCCTTCCACCTTTTATACTAATTCCTAAACCGTTTCCATCATACTTAACAACTCTGACAGTTCTTTTCTCTGATTCCAAGTCTTGAGCATAATCATTGTCGATCGTCTGAATAATATTTACATGATTTCCCAATCACAATTCAGGTTTTTTTGTTTGTAACAACGATAACTGTTCGCATGCTTCTATTGGTAATATGAGAAGCATGCTCTAATGAAATATAAAGAAGGATATTTTTGAATAATCAACCCTATAATCAATAATTGATGTTTTTTACCTGTAACGTTATCGCCGTAGGATCGAGGGTAGCATGGACTCGATGCCATTGCTGTTGGAGCAGAACGTCAAGAAGTCCGCTTCGGATTGCTGCCATCAGAAGCGTATTTCTCTAGCAAACTGAACGACGTCGGCAACGAGGAAAGAACTATGAGTTTTGCTGGTTGTGTAGACTAGCACTGAAGCTTCTCTGCGTGTCTAGATGCCTTGGGCCTAGCTAGCCTCCCAACAAGCCAACAATCAGCTTGGAATTGTGGAGGGCAGTAGTCGGCTCTATCCTTTTCTTTCCCAGACCCTGTTTCTCTCGGTTCTAACACATGTGGTCGTTTAGTTGGTAACAGACGAAATTCTTTTTCTTTCTGTATCTCTCAGTTACACACGTCCTTTACACTATTCTCTACGATCTCCGATTTCTCTACTCAGTCTGCTGCATTATGTTCGATCCTAGACTTGAACCATAGTTTCATAGCTTCTTTTCATTTTACTTAATGATGACAGCTGATTGTCTTCTATTTCAACAACGGGGAAATTTACTTCTGACCTGTCTCCATCTTGGGGATCATCCTTAAACATTAGTTACATGATAACCATGAGTATTCGATCTAACCCGTTAAATATTCACAATCCTGAAGATACCACTAGTCTAATCACACTTGCACACACAGCAGTGTTCTCAATACTCATTTTGATTTTACTGTGTTTTGTTAGGGAAATTTATTCATTCGAGTCTTCTGTGGAAATACATACAGTTGTTTTTTCACACAATAATTCGACACCTAAGCGTTAGAATACTTAAAAAGCTTCACCAAAATATTTTCAGGATTTGTTTTTTTGTAAACGTTTTCCTTTCTTATTTCAACACTTTCCATAAAGCAAAGGAACAACGAAACCTCTTTTTATCTTAATGTACATGTTTTCTATTTTCCTCAATCATCAATGGTTTCAGTTCAAACGTTCTCACGATTAAGAATTGTTTTGCTTTACTTGACTGTTGTCTCATCACTGATTTCCCGTGAGTTTTCTTTCCAAATACTCGCGAGGTTTTCAAAACCTTTCCATGTTTTTCTTTTTTGTGCTTTGTGTCAAAGTTCTCGTGCCTAACTCATTTCTGAGGATGTTTCCTAGCTGTATCCTTTGACTAGCTAGACGCGGTACATGAAGCTATGTTGTTGCGTTTGAGTCTGCTTCCCTGAGCAGCTAGAAGTGACAGCCCGTCCAGTATTGATCAGTTGTCGCTTAACTCTGACGTGCTAGAAGCTTTATTCATCAGAAGGTTGAGGATCACGCGGTTAATCTTCTACAAAATAGTTATAATTGAGGTTAAAATGGATAGTTGAGTGATGATTGACGCATTGTAGGAGGAGTGAATTGATAAGAAGGGCTGCTTCTTCTATCTATTTTTTGCTTGCTCGTTTACATTCTATAATGTTATTTCGATTCTACTTATCAAAATGTAAAAATGACTCATCAGTACTTATTTTAGAAAAGACACCGTGCTTATTTTCCGTCTCTTCAACGGGTCTGCATGGAGCTCACAGGTTTTCGTCATCAGGTTTTTTAAACTTCTTTTTTTTAACGAAACGTCAACATCAGGTTGGTGGTCATTTTGGGTTATTGCAATGTGCGGGACATGTAGCAAAGCCCATTAACAGACGTGAAATGGAATTTTATGAGTTAATGGGCGACAACATCCGTCAGTTCGCTCCTGAGTATTGCGGTAAAACTTATTCTCCGTCTTATATATTTCTGAAGTTTAGGACAAGTTCGAGTGTGCGCAACAGTAGACGAAGATGGCGATTTGCATCTTGTAACTGATTCCCCATTACTTTGTCACCCTGAACCCTCGATAGTAAGTTCTTCTTGTTTTCCGAAGAATGAAGAGTTTAAGAATGAGAATGATATTTCATAACCAATTAATTCATGAACTTAATTAGAGAGATAGCAAATGGGCACATCCACGCGATATATCATACTGAACAGCAAAGGTTAAAACAATTTCATTTTATGTGATTGCAGTGTCGAAAAGATGCTATGGCTATGTCATTTCGAGTTGGGAAAGGTGGCCGAGTTGAAGTCGATTTAGATAAACCTAGCAATCATTGGGCTGCTACCTGTCAAAGCAAAGTAAATCATGTTGATCACGTCGTCATGAGACTAGTGTTTTTTCCAGGTCGTTCAAAAATTATTGGAAGGCTCGTGCTCTAGATTTATTCTTCTAGAGAACGTAGTCGCGTCCTACTCCAGACCTTGTATTTTGGATCTCAAAATAGGCACAAGGTTTTTGTGTCTGTTTTTATGTTTTTCCCAATGCTTTCTTCTTAGGCAACACGGAGATGATGCTTCCGAGTCAAAACGACATCGTCAACTTCGTAAGTGTCGAGAATCGACTAGCGCAACTTTAGGTGTACGCATGGTTGGTATGCAGCTTTACGAATCGAAGACAAAAGTGAGCTATTATATATAATGTATTCGCACAAGCTACTTTTAAAGTCTTACTCTTTTGTTGATAAACAAGAAGGTCGGCGTATAGATCAAACTCAGTTCAGAGCGTATATGCAGAAATTTATTAGATATTGTGGAAATTCTAGAGCTGCCAAATTGCGACAGAGGTAAGGACTAGGATGTTCTGCTTCAATTCGTTTTCATTTAGATTACGTGCTCTACGGGAAGCTCTCCTTGATGCCCCTGGATATCGATTTTTTTCCTCATCCATACTTGTAGCGTTCGATTCTGACACTCAGGTTCGACGGCAATAAAGAATCTGTAATTCTTGTTATAGGATAGCAACTCTGAGGACGCTATTCGAGTAATGATGATAGACTTTGCCCACTCTACTTTTACGGGATTTTTCAATGTGAGCACTTAACTGTTTTTGTATCAGATATATTAATTTTTAGGATTCTGTCTACGATGGTCCAGATGATGGATGTCTCTTGGGAATCGATAGCATTTTGACAGCAATTGATGTAGCTCCATCCGCCTTGCAACATCAAACAGTTCTCACAGCAATAATGCAACACCAGGAACCAGGACTTAAAGAAGTTTGAAAGGTTTTTTGTATCGAGTAATTTGTTGTTTATTAATTGGAATGCCGGCATTCCACAATCGGTTGTTGAGCTAGAAAGCTAGGGTATGTAGAAGTTCTTTCGTCCTAGAACAATATTTTGTGTTATTTGTAAATAGTTGAAGAGAAGTACTTGTAATTTTCGTTTTTCGTGTAGTTCACTTTGTGACGCCTTATGTCTTCTTACTATCAAAGGGCTTTAAAAACATATCAAATGAGAGTTGTTGTAGAATCTTAAGAAACCTATTCATATCCCACTACACATCTTCCAAATTCTCTTCTCCTTTTCTAATGAAACTTGCGCCTAGTCATATATACCCATGACATCTGATGTGATTTAAGATATCCTTTGTTCTCTCATTCCTTTCATTCTCGATCCTTTCACTCATGAATTGTTAAGACCTCTGATAAATTATGTACAATTTATTAATATTCTCTCTGAAAAAACCCAAAACTATTATGTAAAACAACCATATGATATATGTACCCGGTTATCTAATGATAACAATATGACGTTAAGATCGAAAGCAATATTAAACGAAGTCCGAATGGTAGCATGGCATCAGTTCCGACATAGTCTGACCAGAAAATCTTTTTTAGGCGTCCATATCTTCCGCCTCGAGTAGCATATGCGTTGAATCATCTGCTTTTTTCGGTAAATGTGTCCTGGAAAGATTATTCGTTTTTTTCGTGAAACATTAGAATCATTTCATTATGGGGAGCGTCAAGTTTCAATGGAACACCATAACCCATAACACTAAAACTTGCCTTTTTCTTTCCTTCTCATTACTGAAACTTATGGTTATATGTTAATTCTCTATTTTGTTTCGGAAACAACAACATACCTTTGACGACGTCGTGTGAAAGCGTGAATCAACATGCCAGTAAAGCATAACACTAATCCCATAGAGTTCATGTATGTCAATTTGTCCTTATTAATCATATGGGCTAAGAGAAGCGTTGTGATTTCCTCAAAAAAAATCGATTCGAAAATGGAATGACTTCTAGCAAACCTTCACAATTCCAAAAATATTCAAAGTGATACCCGAAGTGTTTACTAGTAATAGATATTCTAGAAAGAAAGAAAGTGATGTTGCGAGAAGACAACTTACCGGATAACTCCATACAGAATGCTAACAATCCTCCGATGCAAGCCAATAGCAGAACCTGGAAAGGCGCTTCAACTCCTTTGTAATAGAAGACAGTTTCATAACTGAGTTGAGGGCCTTAAACAGAAATTTGTTAAGTTCAGTCGACAAGTATTATCACAACCTTCGAAAAAGACCACTAACGGAATTATAGGAATAAACATCCATGGTTGAACATGTGCAACCATATCTAACGGGTTTCGTACAGCATGCTCATCGCGTTGCATAACCAGCTGAGAAACTGTCCATCTACATGAATAATATAACAAATAAATCATTTTATAAGATTTTTACCTTATTCCAGTACAGGATGCTGCGAGTTCAACTAACAACAAGCCTGTGAAATCAAGCTGTGAGCTTTGCCAAGTGAAGAGAAACAGTCCACTGGCGATGAAAGCTGCTTCAACACCGAGCGATGTTCTCCATCTTAATAATATATTTAAAGCAGTAAGAATGAGAAACAAACCTCTCTAATCTCAACAAGAGAGAGAATGCCACAATGAAGAGAATTGAACTGGATTTAGCCATAGTGTATAAGCTCACAGTGACATATTCTAGAGCCCAATTTGATAGGCCAATGTCCAAAGAAGCACAAATACCTATCGGTGCTAGCCATCGGAAAAATAGACACATTTAAAACTAAGATTAAAAATAAAGGAAACCTTATTTGTTCTCTCCAAGACAATCTCAGTCGACGCGCATTACAACACTCGTAAAGCCAACGGATGAATATAGCAGAGAGCCATTTCAAAAGATAATGGCAACTTACTACTAGCAGGGGTAGTTTATAATTCTGAATATCACGACCTTTAATCTCGAATCCTATACCTCGACACTGACCTTGATGAACCATTTTTGATAAAATGTTAAGCCAATAGATAAACTGTAGTATAATAAGACTATTGTTAGAACTTTGAAAACCATCTTCAATTATGTACAAGAAGGCTTGCAAACAATTTTAATTCAAACAGACGATCATAATCTGAAAATCATTTGAAGAGAAGATCAGTAACAACATAAACTTCCAATGGAGAACAAGAAAATGCTTTTTTGAGTGGAATCAAGAAATAAGAAACTAGAGCATAACATCAATACGAGCTGAGATGGGGGAAACGATAACAAATTCAATCTCTTTCTTGCAGTCTCATATGTTCAGTATGTGAAGCTATTTTCTTATCTTCGATAGTTGAATGAATGCAATCAATACTGATAAGAAAACACATATTTTTTCCCAATTCATGTTGGTTTTCAAGAAGTTATCATTTGTTAGGTTATGAGAAAAGAGCTAAATAGAATCACAAGATATGAATCAAGAGTATTAAATCTACAGGATAATCAAATTCACGTGAGCGCCCTTGCTTTATCGCCTTCACGTCTTACGTATTTAATTCCCAACATTTTTGTGTACACGTCCGCTTTATTTGGACACCGTATAATAACACATATTCGGTTTAGGGATAAATATGCTAGAAGTTAATTCTCTCGCTAAAATTGCATTTTGTTGTGAAAAAATAATCCAATGCTATCAAGTATTGCTGTGAATATCTAGTTTGATAAGCTTAAGGGAAGGAAGAGCCCTTATTGATGTGTTCCGCTTGGAATGCCATAGCCGACGACTGTTGCAACAGTGCTCGAAAATGACATTTTCATTTTTGATTGAAAATTCTTCTTTCCGGTCAGCGTACAACCGCTCTTTTCCTGGTTCTTAAGTCGGCAATGAACTTCGTAAATAGAATCATTCTAAGTCTAACGCTGGAACATGGTGGTGGCGTTTTGTACAGTGTTATGGGTCTTTGGGCGGCATAGCACTTTTCTTTTTTATATTCAGTTCACATTCATAGTTAAGAAAGTATCGAAAATCTTAGAAACATACGCCTATGCAACGGAAGTGAAATGAGTTTTTTGATTTTTTTTAATTCAATTTGATCGGCTTGGTATAATCCAGATTACATATGAACAAAGATTCTCAAGATAGAAACGGGAGTCATACATCTTTCATTAAATTCTTTATTTTGAATGAATTAGAGTAATAGTGATGGGCCAACTTTTCAAAGCTTTCTAATTCGTTATTGGTCCCTTATTTACCTCAAGAAGGTACTATATTTTTTCAAGATTCCAAATTACTCTTAATTTTATCGAATTTTTAAATAAAGGAAGTATTGTAGGAATCTGGTGAGAACATAATGGTTAATTGTGCTGTACGTTAATCGTACAAATACGGTTTCTGTCTCCAAAATAAAACTTATGGAGATATGGGGAATCGAACCCCAGACCTCTCCCATGCGAAGGGAGCGCTCTACCCCTGAGCTATATCCCCAGCATAGAACTACTTATTTACTAGTTCTATTACGGTGTTTACTTGCTGTGAGTTTCTCAGCTAGTACATATAATGATATACAAAGTTATGCTTTCCAATAAATATGAACCTATATGAACCGAACCTATCGTGAGGAAAATATAAATGTTGCAACTTTGAAGCATGCGTAAGCTGTTTTTTCATGTACTTGTTATGGTGAAGCAGTGAATGAACAACTTGACAATCAATGTTTATGTACTATTTAACATATTTCCCCTTCTTTATTAACAATAAAACCCATGTGGGGTCTGACGGAAACAAGTTTTTTATTGAAAAAATGTACTACGGGTGATCAAAGAAACGAAGTGTCTCTTTTGAAATAATTTTTGTTTGTTTTTTTGATAATAAAATAGTCGGCTAATCAATTATCAAATCAAGTTCTAAGCCTAGTCTTTGAGGTTTATAAAGCTGAATATGATAACTTGATCGATAATAATCTCTATAGTTTACCTATTCCCAAACATTTCTTTTCTACATTCAAGATTTCATTTGTCAACTTTTTCGTTTCATCTTCAAGCTCAAATGAAGAAAAAAAACTTTTGTGTTGGTAAAGAAACTTTTTTTGTACGCAATTGTAAGACAGACGATTGAATAAAAATGTATAAAAAGATATATAAAGACAGACTGAATATGGAGAGATAGAGAGATATAAAGAGACAATGGCAAATAGACGAGAAAAGAGGGACTGAGAAGCAGCTTTTGGATGCAAAGGGTGAAGGGGAAGGGGGGAAATATTTTTGTTTTTTAAAAAGGAAATCAATAGCCAGACAATTCTTGGAAAGTCTGATCGAGTTCCTCGGAGATGGTCTTGTACCTCTCCTTCTCGTGAACCAATTCGTCTAAATGAAAAAATATTATAATCTTATATGTTATGATGGTAATGATTAGATATATGGAAGGAATATATGTTGGGGAAACAGTAATATAAGAGAGAGAGGAGTTTAAATAATAGGTATCGATAGGTTAAAATCACTTCAAAGAAAAATACAGAATGTTAGAAGAAGACCAAAAAAAAAAGAACAAAAGTATGTTGACACACCGGGGGATGGTAGATCAAAAGTGAATAAGTTTTGGATGAAGTTATTCATTTTTTTTCTCCTGAACAGTTATGAAAACGACAAAAAATATTTGAGGACGGGAGTATCTTGAGGACATTGCAAAACATTTGTTCTTATATATATATATTTCCATAGTTATAATTTGTTCCTTAAACGGCATTCAGTTCAGACAACAGACGATCCAGCTCATCTTGCAACTGCTTTCCTTTGCGAACAGAAGTATCGTTTTCTTCTGAAACTCACAGTCAAACACACGACAAATCATTCCGGTTAACAAAGAGTGTTAGGTGATAAATGCAATAAACATATATCTAGCTAATTATAGGGTAGTAGCATGCTTTTCTCACACTCATACACTTAATAGTTTTCGAGCTTTTTCGTTCTTATCCATGCGAATGTTAATGGCGTATTCCGTGCTCTTACATTTATGATCCCTGAATCTCCTGAACAGTTTGTTCAATTTCTTCGGTTAGGTTACGGACACGTTCCTTCTCCAACAACAGCTCGTCTGTACAACACATGGACAATAGACAATAGACACGTTTTTGTTTTATATTATAGACATTTGACACGGACACTTGAAGCTTTTGCTTTAGTTCGGTTTTCTTTTTGATCACAATGACTCAAAGACGCTTACATCTATTCCCTTCGTTTCTCGCTTCCTATCTTCATTCTTATTCTTTTCGTAGAATGAAGCTGGCAGTCAAAGATGTCTTTATAGACTTTAAACTGTGGATTAAGTGTGTGCTTTACATAAAACAAAAGTGAGAAAGTGTAGGAGGATATCATCCTCTCTCCTCATCTCTCCATCAGCTTATAGTCTCTCTTCAACTACTCAATCTCTCTTCTTCGCTCTCTCGGTGATTTGTGATCGAGAAATAGGTAAACGAAGTTTAAAAGAAAACCGAACAGCAATTGTCAGCACATGTTCTCTCCTCATATTCACAAATAAGTAAAAGCGTGAAGTGTAAGAATATTGAAACACATACCTTCAAGTCTGTCAACTTCCTTCTGGAGCTTTTGAACGGAGCGCTCAGCGAATTCAGCACGGGTCTCAGCCTGAATACAGTATTTTTTTATATTCGTGATTACTCCTGCGTTCAGAGATTGGACATGATAGAACCAAGACATCATCTGATGACAAAAATGGACAACCACAAAATCAGAAGAAAAAACGTTTCTCTTCTGATCTGAGCTTCACAAATTTCACAACGACGCTTTATAGAATAGAAGGTAAAAGAGAAATGCAATAGTTGGACGATCATGAATGGGAAAACAGAGGGATATTTTACCTCCTTCAGTCTGGCAGAGATGGTGCGGATTTGCTCTTCGTAGGAATCCTCACGTTGGAGAGCCTTCTCTTCAGATACTTCGAGAGATTTCAAGTTGTTACCAACAACACGAAGTTCTTCCTCGAGTTCGACGATCTTGCTGCACAAAAAGAGACACGTTAAGAGAGAAAAAAAGTAAATAAGAAATAAGTTTTTGTTTGATTTGACAAGAAACCACATAAGGTAGAAACTTTCGTTTTTTCGCAAAGTTAGTAAACTGATAATAGTTAAAGCATGCAGCTGACTGAGCTAGAAGCGTTTTGAAAGAAGAAGAAGCTTGACAACATTTTTACAACATTTTCAAAAACCTGTTGATGTATTTTCTTCATTGACTTCTTATAAGCTTCAAAATGAATTTCCATTTGTGAAGACTTCTTTGCAGAAGCTTCCATTACACGTAATAATTTGATCAATGATGTGAGTTCTTTCTCAGCTTCGTTCGCCCGTCTGTTAGTGAAAATTAAGTGTTAGATTATCTTTGCTTATTTTTTAAGGATTATTTAGATAATTTGGAACAATTGTTAATCTATATCTGGGTGTTCTATCAGCTGCAATAATTCTTCACGAATAATTGAGGATACAAAGGTAGATCGTGTTTTTTACAAAGGTTCCGACATCGATTGTCTACCTCCTTTAGTCGGAAGTCCAACTGACGAATTTGCTCGGCGAAGATATCCTCCTTTTCCAAAGCTTTTTCCTCAGAAAGTTCGAGCGACTTCAAGTTGTTGCCAACGACACGAAGTTCTTCTTCAAGCTCGACGATCTTGCTATAGAAAGAGCGAGCCGTTTTTTGTTGTTAAATTCAACGAATTTCGAAATATTTCGAACTATTTTTTTGTTTTCTCAGTTTCAAAAACTATCTTCAAGAAAAGGAAAGAGTTTTGAATGAATAAAAGCTGTTGGTAATAGCGATTAGAACTTCATTTGTTTAGTAAAGCCGTATGGTTATTCTGGTTGGTTTTGCTTTCATTACTACCTCGCTGAAATGTTTTCCAAAAATAAAAAGAATCAAACATACTTTTCTCCGGCTTCGGCACGTTCCTCAGCTCTCTCAAGATCAGCTTCAACCATAGCCAACTTACGGGCGACCTATAAAGAGTTTCAGCTGATTGATGTAACTTTTCATTTTTGATTCGTGATGTCAAAAAATCAGTTATGTTGACATCAATTAAATTGAAGAATAAGACGTCTCATCAAAGAGCAATTTAGAGAGGGTGCAGTAGTCATTGTGTTAATAGGTTGTCTTTTTTGGATTCGAAAGTTTGGAAAAGGAAAATGTTAGAGATTCTTGCATTCTTGTTAGAGTTGAAGTAAGAAATCATTGTGGGACCTCGTCGTATTTACGGTCAGCTTCCTCAGCGAGCATTTGAGCTTCCTTAAGCTGAGCTTCAATGGTGTTGGCGCGCTCTTCATCTTGGAAGGAACGGTTCTCCATGACCTTGCGGACACTGAACTCATATAGCATAATATTTTATATAGTTTCCTCAAAAGTTCGGATAACGCTTGACCGGAAGTCCTTGTAATGTTAAACTGAAGATGAGGGTTTGAAAGTAGGGAGTAAGAGGTATTTCGATCGTATTGAATCGTTCTGAAGCTATCTGTATGCAGTTTGATTCCTTTTCTAATTATTCTTAGGAATAGTCAAAATCAGGCGAAAAGAGAACTAAAATATGAAAAGGGAAGAGCTTCGATGGACAAATTAAAAATAACATGAAGAATTAGAATGAGAAGTTTGAAAATGTTAGAAATCACAGCACCTCATCACTACGGGTTTCAGTCTCCCGTAATAGAGACTGACATTCACGCAATTTCTGTTCTAATTCTGAAGAGCGGTTCTCATCAATATCCATCCGGGTTTCCAACGACCTCCGAGCCCTAAACACACAAGCAAACGCGTTAGTTTGTTTCATAATCTGATTAATATTTAAAACTCTTGAGTTATTAAAGAATATTTTCTTCTGAAACGTGCAAACTGTTTCTCTACTAACAGTTGTGAGATAGTAAGTTTTAGCAAAGCAAGCAGGGTTTTAAACATTTAACATGCTAGACGTCTTATCAACAACATATAAGAACATGAATCAGACCTCTTCGTATTTGCGATCGGCATCTTCAGCGATAACCTTGGCTTCATCCACTTGGGTTTCCAAGAAGTTGGCTCTTTCCTCATCTTGTTGAGAGCGGGTTTCCATAGATTTACGGGCACTAACATAGAAAAAATAAGACACTGGACATGGACAACGTGGAGTTTCTTGGTCCGAAACTCTTTGACAGAAGCGGAAACGCATTGAACTCAAAACGGACACGAAGCTTTAGTTGAATTTTCAATTCAAATTTTGAGCCATTGGTGATTTTCGAACGTAGTGAGGTGTGGGCGCGTTCGATATTTTTTGCGTGATAAAGCGGGGTGGAATCAAGTGCTACAGAATGCTTCAGAAGAGGCTACACGTTGAGACGAATTCCAATTATCCTTTTTCAAATCCTCAAGTAGAATCAGCTTTTCATGGAAGTATCCCGGTCATGCTCTTTCCGGAACGATTGGTGGATGAGTACATACCGCTCGGATTCGTCAACGTTTTGGGTAGCCTCCTCAAGCTTCTCAGTGGCAATCTTAAGACGTTCCTCAGCGCGCTCGAGTTCTTCCTCAAGAAGAGTCATGCGGCGGTTGAGGGCAGCGACCTCAGCCTCAGCCTATAAATGTTCAAAATGCTTAAAAGATCTCACCGTTCAGCCTCATCAGCAGCTTTCGATGCTTCTTCCAACTTCAGTGTTGCAACCTTCAGGCGCTCCTCCGTACGCTCCAAATCCTCTTCCACAAGCACAATACGACGGTTCAAGGCAGCTACTTCGGCCTCAGCCTATACACATAACTTTTCTTGCTTCGGTAGCAGAGATAGAGGGAAAGAAAGGAATAAATGATCAGAGGGAACTCTTCCACCTAATCTTCATCGAAATTCGTTCATAAGCAAATAGTGAAAGCACATGATTGCTCTTGGCAGAAGCGAGTTCAAGCTTAATCATGTCCATTCACTAAGAGGCTTATCATTTAACATTGTTCTCCTTTTAATCTGATGTTCATCAAATTTTCTCGAGCTTGAACACTTCGAAAAATGAAATTTTGAATGTTGACGATGATCGCCAGTTGCCGTCGGATCCACTCCAGAACGTCGTGCAGGAGCCACTTGAGATGCGAGGATGCGACAGCGATAACGATGAGCGTTTAATGACAGTTCTGCCATCATCGTTTTCTCTTTTTTTTTACGTTGGAAATCATAATTCCAGAATTCATCAAAAAGTTATGATCATTTTCCCCGTAACTGGGCTATCGCTCTCATTCATCAAAGTGTTATCCAAGCTCGTCATCTTATAGTTGTGAACATCATCTGATAAGAACGATGAAAATCAAGCGTTGTCATCTGAATTTGCCAAGAAACTTTTAGAATCTAATCTAAGTGTTCCATGTTCTCAAAAGGTCGCTTTCAAGCATTACAGAAACTATCAATGAAGATTTGTGGAAGGTTGATGAAGAGAGTTTAGTTAGGAGACTTACGTCTTCACGCTTCTTACGCTCTTCCTCGAGCTGTCTCTTGACCTCATCAGCCTCATCCTTAGCGGCCTCGGCCTCCTCACGGGCCTGACGCATCTTCTTCTTGAGCACATCAAGAAGAGATGTCTGTTGGGCACCTTCCTTATTAACCTTAGACATGGCTGTGGGTGTTTGATTTGGAGGATCTAAGAAAATCGAAAGTAACGACCTATTCGACAAGAACCAATTCGAGCAGTATTCAATAAATGTGAAATATACGTCAAGTAATCAAAGAAATCGAATTGAGTTACATTTTTTTGTGAATGAAAATTTATAAAAAAAAAGAGCAGAGCGAGTGGCAGAAGAGAATTAATGACTGATAGAATGGTAGTAGAGCGAGCTAGCTGGCGTACGGGGTAAGTTGAAGGAGGGCGGACGAAGGGTGGAGAAGACGGCAAGAGAGCAGAGTGGCTGGTGCAAGAATTCAAACAGACTCTGATTCCTAAGAGCTGCTGATAGACAAGCAGTGGGTGGAGGTAAGAGATCGGAAGAAAAAGAAGTTATACAGGGATAGGGAGAAAGAGATGCTGACTGATGAAAGCATGAATATCAAGAAGAAGTAGAAGAAGAAAGACGTTGTCTTCGTAGGCGCCACCTCCGCCAAAATTATCTAACCGGACCGGAAAGTAGCAAAAATGACGAGAGGGCAGGCAGTCTGCCGAAGAAAAAGCAGAGACGACGAAGCAAAGAATGACTAGCTTCTTGAACACCTTCTCTCCTTTTCTCCTCTCGTTCCAGCATTTTTCGGTGAAGAGCTGATAGATAGGCTTGTACATCTCACTTTTTCAACGCGCTCTCAACACAAATTTCTTTCTTTCTTTTTTTTATCTATTTGCCAAAATATTTCCTATCATCTGGGAATTATTATCGAGTTCTTGTGAAAACTTATTCTGTTATCTACCGAAAATTCAAATGGCAGAAAGAAAATGAGATGGAGAATATGAAACAAAAAAGCTTTTATATCCGATTCATAAGGAGAGTTATTGGAAAGCGAACTGATGTGAAGGCTATTCGAAGAAGAAAAGTAAACTCAAGAGTCTCAAAGTGAAGAAGAAGCTTGTTGAGTAACTTACAGTCGTTAGATGAACATACGACGCGGAAATGAATTAAAAAGGTAACGTTAAAAAAAACTGAAAAGGCGGTTCAGTTCATCAAAAAAATCTATCAAAAGCTTAGAAACAACGAAATTTTATGTATTGCGGTATGTGATCGTCGAAAAGAGGAGGAGAGAGAGAAGAGACTGGTGACGGCTAAAATCAGAACTGGAATCTCGTCCTCATGGTCAGAAATGTTCAAAAAAATCAATAAAATTCATAAGAGGATAATTTTTTTCAAAAAATTCTAAAAAAATGTTTACTAAAAGCAAAGGTTCAGAAACAATATGAGCGAGCACTAAATGTGAGAATGATGCAGTGAGAGAGGACAGGGATACAAGTAAATGGGGAAGTTCTAATTAGGAAGTTGTTGGGAGAATAAAAGATTGATTGAGGACAAGGTTCCGGTGCAATGACCCTGTTGTTGTGGAGAAAATGAAGAATAGATGGTCCATATGAATTTCCATCTCAAATAATTGTTTATGACCGGTCCAAGTAGTCTTCTATGCCCTCAGGTAGAGAGGATTCAAAAAAATGAGGAAATGGAACAAAAATATATCCAAAAACAAGAAAAATTCTGATTTCAAACAAAAGTGTTCGTGATTGTTCCGAAAATTTTCAAAGACAAATATGAATGGTAGATGAGAAATGAATGTGGTGATGACGAGTTGATGTTTTTCGAGATGAGACATCAGATGAGACAGAATGATGACTTTTCATTCTGAATCTATCTTTTTCATATGAAATTATTTGAAATTTCATAATTAACCACGTCAAGAAGCTTAAATTATGGTTTATGTTTAGTTTGTACTAGAAAGAATATTGATTGATTACTTGCAATGATGTTCTGAAAGAACAACGAACGGATTTTAGAATAATGACGATATATGCCAAGCAGGGAGAGAAGATTACGAAAAGGTATCGCGCTTGTGGTTATAAAGCTAAAACGGGAAGAAAGAGAGACATTGGGGATGACGAAGAGAGAATAGGGAGAACAAGTTTGATCATCAGCTGCTTATCTAATGAAATGAAGTTGTTGTGTCAGATCATTTCATATCTTTTAAATAAAACTTAATGTTGCGTCGTACGATTTAGCGTTGAGCTTTATCTCTCTTGCTTTCTCTTTCCCTCGGTTTTCAAACATTTCTTCATTCAGACATAATCATGAAGATGTAGACAGAGAGAGAGAGAGAAAGAGAAAAGATAATCGTACCTCAATTGCTCGAGAAAATATAAAGAGACCAACTAACTACTTGTGCATGCAACCGCTGTTCATATTCGCTTGATGAGGAAAGAAGAAAATCGAGAAATTTTTCTTTTTTTGGGTTGAATGAAGCGGTCGTGCTTTGAGGATGAATAACGACGTTATTCCTTATAAGTTTATGGTTAATTAGTAGAAGAAAAACTGGATTTGTATGAAAGAATGAGGTAAAGAAAACTTGAAATAGATAGAAATAATTCAAAAAAGGAAATTGATTATAAAACTATTTGAATCATCACGAGACTTTATCAATATTAAAAAAAGGAGGGGTGGGAGGAGGAGAGACGATAGGGAGGATTGTCGTGGGGGGAGATTGTGAGTAGGGGGAGCGATGGGACATGGTGAAAGAGGAGGCTGAAATATGATTTTGAGCAATGACAGTTAGATTATTTGGCAACAGTTTCGAACATTTCAAGAATGAGAGATTGCTGTCAAAAAGATTTTTTCTTGAATGAAGAAGGAATATGTTGACAAAAAGATGAAATTTTATTTGTTTTTGTCATTACTGTTGGAAAGTTTGTTGGAAGGAAGGTAGTGTCCAGTTGTGTCAAAAGAATTTTCATGAAAATGATGTCGTAGAGGTCGAACAGAACAAAAAGAAAATAGAGAGAGAGAGAGAGAGAGAGAGAGAGAGAGAGAGAGAGAGAGAGAGAGAGAGAGAGAGATACAAGAGGTAAATAATTCTGTTACAAAGGGTAACTTATTTGTATTCAATTTAAAATATAGACAAATAATCTAAAAGAGCAGTTAGTGAATGAGTTTTATAAATGGAATGAAAAACTTTTTTTCTCTTCCCTTCATAACATGATTAAGATATTCTTAAAAGAATGTTCTTAATTCAATTTTATGGAAGAAGCTTCTAACATCTGTTGTTCATATGAGAAGTATGAACTCGTAAATCCATTCTCTTCAATTTTAATGATGAACGGAGACAGAAAAAAAGAATTCAAAATACTTGATGTCTTTAAGCACAATCAATAAGCTGATATGTCAATAATCTGAAAAGAAATTCTAAAGACGAACTTTCCTCTTGAACGAAATATTAACAAAGAGAGAGAGAGAGGAAAGAGGCAAGAGAAAGAGGGCTGGAAGGTAGAGAGAGAAGAGAAGATGAAGAAAGGTTTATTTGCATGTTTATGCTGGTTCCTTGTCAAACTTTAATCATCAGCATTACGAGCAAAAAGATTTGAATGAAAGAAGACAATCTCCCAAAATGGATTTGCAACGCTTTTTCTCTTGGAAAATTCTCTCTGTATTCGAACGATGACAGTTGGATTCGCAAATGAATCAAACATCTGACATAACGGAAATCAAGAAGTCTTTCACTCTTCCTATTCTTCAACAGATTTCAAAAAGAACATGTTAATCAGAAGACATGAGAACAAAAACGACTCATATAGCTATAACAGAGAGAAGGAGAGAGAAAGGAGGAGAGGAAAGTAAACGAGTCAAGACCTTGACGTTGTGCTGAATCGTCGTCGATTATGGTTTTGTGGATGTTCGTTTGACATAACCACCTGGTCGTCGTCGTTTCTCCACTTCTTTTTTTTTCTTTTTTTTTCTCTTTCTTCTTCTTTCAGCTGAACTTTTCAATCGTTTCAATTTCTTTGAAACATACAAGACGACAAGAAAAAGAAGATTATCGTGTCAAAAACCCCATTTTATTTTTGAATTTCAAAACAAAATTGGGCAATGAAGTCCTTATAGACTTCAATTGAAAAATCAGGTTTTTTCATAGTTCATTTTCTATGAAATCCATCATTTCGTTTTTTCAGCTTCTCAGTAGTTCTAGTCATCTCCTCCTCTCTTCATCAAAGATTTTATTTTTGTCTTCTTCTCAATTCTTGAAAAAAAGAATGGGAAAAGTTTCTATTCTTCACACTTTATACAATAATGTGGGAGGAGGAAAAAGATGAAGCTAACGGTAGTCGAAATGCCACCGAAACAAAAAAAAAGAGGAGATGCATATGAAAGACCGTAGTGATCTTCTCATTGTCCTCTCTCAATTTTCTTTTTTTTTCAATTCCTCACTCTTGCTTCTGATCTGTGTTGGCAAAACCTTTGAAGCCTCGTTAACTGAGTTTCGTCTTCGTTCTGTGTTGATTTCTTTTGATCAGAAGAAGTGTCTCATCCAAAGCATGTTCTCTGATTCAGATGCGGGGGATACATATTGTAAGGCAGAGAGAGAGGCAAGACAAGAATATGAGAGAGAAAGTGAAGAGAAAGATGAAGCGAATAGTGTAAAGTAAATAGAAGAGTCGAAGAGCAGAAGATGAAGAGAAAATACACACACGGCTAATAATTATTGGTTGGAAAGGAAAGAAAGTGAGCAATTTTTGTTAATTCAGGGGAAATTACGTTGAAAAAAGATATTCAAATGGAAATCAAGTCAAAAGCTGATTGCTTAATCACTTCTGTACTAAGGCGTTCCCTTTGCTCTAATGCGGATTTTTTTGGAAAATGATAAATAACGAGTCTAAAAATATCAATGGAATGTCATAAAAGAACTGATATTGATTTCAAATATGACAAACAGATTGATAAGGAGAATATGTCCATAAAAGCCCTGTTGGATAGTCTTCCCAAACTTTGAAACTCACTTACCTTCATCATATTGTGCTTGTGGAAAGTACGGAAAGAGCCTAAAGTTTGTCACACAGAAAGCTTGAAGAAGCATTGAAACGTTTGAAACTTTTTTTTTCAAACGCTTTGCCTGCTTCTGGGAGAACAAAAACAACGTACCTCTTGGACCTTCTTCTCCTTCTCTTCAAGTTGAGAAGTGGCAGCAGCAAGGTCTTCCTGAAAGAAGCTTCAATTTTGGATGTTCTTTTTTGTGTTTCTTACTTGAGCCTTATCCAAATCGTTCTCAGTTTGGACCATCTTCTTCTGGGTATCACGGAGTTCTTCCTCGGCTCTTTCGAGCTTCTCAGTGATTTGGCGGACTTTTTCTTCAGCGGCATCGGCCCGATCGAGAGCGTTGTCCTACATTGAAATATTTTAAGTTGAGTTTTAACAGCCAAAAGCATATATGAGAAAACGAGAAAACATTCTAATGTTTTGTGACATCTTCTGATGGCTTCATAATTCCAGCGTAGAAAATGCTATTCATTGTACTTTCTTGCCCCCTATTTAACATTATTTAAACGAAAAGTGGTGCTCTCTCTCTCATTATTTCTTAGAATTTGCTGGTTGCCAACAGCCCGGATTCACCGGAGCAGATCTGAGGCAGATGGGCCTAAAGATTCAAAACAGAGAAAGAGATGAAAAAAGAGAGAAGAAATAGAGAGATATAATGTTATAACTAGAGAGAACAAGGTAGATGGAGGCAATAGAAAATATATTTTTGTGTTGTAACGCAGAAAAAGATTACAACTGGCTAAAGAGTTATTTCTTCTTCTTTTTCAGTTATAGCACAGCTTTCTGATTGTCTCTTCTCTCTTTCATTATCACATTATTTATCTGTATATCTCTCTATATCAAATACATTTTTTTGAGTCTCCCTTCTCAAGAACGAAGCTCTATGATTCCAAGTTTCTCTTTCTTTCTTTTTTCACCAAAATTAATCGGAGCTTCAAATATATGGATGAACTGTATACTTCAGTGATATAATCAGAGAACAAATTATATCCCATAACTTCCTTTTATGGATTTTCATTCCAGATGTCTAATCAGTCTTATCGTTTTTCTTTCTTTCACTCTCTCCATCTCTTATGAATCACAGCAATACAATACTGCATAAAACTCAAAAAGAGAGGTATAAACGACTGACGACTAAAGAGATGAATGATCAGCTTTTCCATCAATTACGATGTATAAGAGAGAAACGTTTCGACATCACTTGGGTTTAATTAACCCACAAAGGAAGCTTTTCAAGAAATGAAGAAAATTCTAATCTCTCTATCATTCGAGTTCATAAAAAAGCAGCCCACCAGACGTTTTCAATCACGAATTCATCAGAAGGAAGAATTTCAGCTTTAAAACTTTAGAAAACGTTTTTACAACTTCGAAAGAAGCCAGAAGCTGCACATGTTAGAAAAAATCGAGAATTGTAACGCATGTGATCTTACTGTGAGAAGAAGAGATGTCAGTCTTTATTCTCAATTATGTACTTCATCAATCAAAGAAGGAAACTTAGAATGAAGCTAATTTAATAACTTCTTCAAAATCAGTATAGTGTTAAAAGTAATAACTTCTGTTTCACAAAAGCGTAGGCGTGCTACTACTCTCAGTATGTTTCTTGATATTTTGATCTGACAAAGAGTGAAATAGACAAGTCTTGAACAACCTCACAGTTGCCACTAAAAACTGTGTTTAAAAGAAAGAAATGCTTTTACTCTTAACTTTCTCAAACATGATTCTTTTTCTTTTCTCTTTCTGTCATATCAAAACGAAGGAGAGAAGACGTAGCCGAAAAGCAGCCTAGCCCAAGCAGCTGCTGATTCACATCCACACACATACACAAAAAAACTTGAGAGAAAAAAAGAGAGAAACAAAAGCAAAATCAAGCCCTGATTCGTACTAGGGCCATGTTCACTTTTCACTTTGTCACAAAAACTACAGGAATGAACGCTAAAGAGACAATATCATTGCCTGAGCTCTGACTACAAGTAACTATCTAATTGAACAGGTAAAATGAGAAAGCATGTCTCATGTAGTTTGCTCCGAAGGTGGAACAGAACTGTTGAGAACAGAAAAAGGAATAACTAAATCCTTAGAGATTGAGAAAAACCTCAGGAAAAAATGCAGAAAAAACGTAAAATGATATTATAAATCCAATCAATCCCATATAAGTTATAAAGCTGACCTTCTCGATCTTCATGGCCTGCATCTTCTTCTTAATGGCGTCCATTTTGGCGATTTGTTAGGTAGATTCGGTGCAGCTGCAAACGAAACAAGGGAGACACTGGTTGGAAACCGGGTGGAATAGCCGGAGGACATCGGCAGCTTCTAGCTCCGCCCCTAGCACCCTGAGTTTGCCTGTGACGCCTCTTCCTCTCATAATACTATTTCTATTGGAGCTCTCTCAGCATACGGTATGCCATTTGACATCTCTCACTAGTAAAACCTCCTCTTTTACACAATATTTCTAATCAACTCCATTTCTTGGGAGTCTGGAAACAACAGCCGTCCAAACCTCTTCCATTTCTCGTCTATCTCAATACTTTTTCTATAGATCTGTATAGAATGAGATGAAAAAAGAAGAAAAGTCTGAGGAGGAGGTGGAGGAGGAGGTGGTAGTGATGTTGGAAAGCATCCCTTCAAATCTAACTTTGTCTAGAACATCTTGCCTCAAACCAGAAGCAACGGATAACACGGGGGTGGTGGGCTATGCTCTCCTTCTCTCTCTCTCTCACTCTCTGTCACTCTAATTGAAGACTTACCTCTATCATCATCTCTATTCTTCTGTACATCTTCCCTCTTCCTACTCTCTATCAGATATTCCCTTTCGTATAACACCAAGTAACAGCTATAGCTTAGGAACTCATTCCTCTTTTCAACTTTCTTTTAATCTATCTCTCTCGATTTTCTTTAAATCTCGGAGTTCCTTCGTTTTTGCTACTTCTCCTAATCATCCTCCTACACCTCCGCCTCCTCAAATCCCAGCCGTATGGTGATTGGCTCATAGATTTTTATACTAAACTGAAGATGAAAGACATAGACTAAGCATTACATAAAACGAGAAAGAAACTTGGAGCTATCTATCTTCTTCCGAAAATATTTTGAATGTACGTCTGAAAAAGGTTCACAACTGCCGGGATATGTCTACTGTATATCAAATATGAAAGAACACAAAAACAGTGTAAATATCTTATTATGAAATTCACTCTTTCATTCACAGAAAAATACAAGAGTATATAATAATTATAACTTTGAAAATATATTAATTAAAGAACATTAACAACAATCAGTATAAATTTATAATTTATATTACTTTCTTTGATACTTTCTACTCTGAAAAAGACTTACATTACTTTCTTATATCATGATAACCTCACCAAAACATCACCATCGCCTTCGAAGTTCAGTGGCCGACAGAATAATAATCCAGCCTGACCTCCTGTTATCACAGTTGACCTGTAAACACGCCTTTTTAGAGAAGTTTCTGCCGGAATTTGCTACTTTGAAAACTTATTTGTGCCAATAGCATTAAGTGATTCCACTCGCGTATCAATCGCGGCATATTCAACATCCTTACCTTCCTGAAACAAAACAACATTATGTGATTTCAGATGAGTAAGTCTGACTCTGCAAAACTATTTGAAACAATACAGGGAACTGGGTCAAAGACAAAACAATACTTCGATGCATTTCTATGAATCAAAGGATGAAACTTATGTTTTTTGTGCTTTTATAGTGAATAAGCAATACTATCGTTCTTATAGAGATCAACTTTGTATAGTAAAAACTATCTCCGAAAAATAGCCCGTTTAACCATTTGCGTGCTCATTCCCCTCATGAATCAAACGGAAATTTATCTACTAATTGCATCAATTTTTGATAGCTTTCTCTTTCTACTTTTTCTTTGTGGATATCCCTGTAAAGCCAAAAATATTCTTTAGTACTTTATCAGAACAGGCGCGTTGCCACCTGCTTTGAGCCCTCAATAACTGATGGCAAAAGCCTGACAGGGACTAACATACAAATATAAAAAGCTAAAGCTATCTTAAATGACAAATACATGAAGCGGTACATACCTTCGGAACATCTGCTCGTATTTCTAACCACAAATTCTCACATATATCTTTATGGCTTATTATGCTTTCTTTGATTACAGCATTCTTGAGGTCTTGCACTTTAGTTAACCGTCTCCTAGGAATGAAAACTATTCCAATCGCAAATCTCTCACTGTACCTCGTTAGAGAAAGAGATGTTTTCTTTAAACTGAACGCACAATCTATTATGCTTAAATTAGCAGCCATTTTTCCATTAGCAGAAACATGAAGCTGAAACTGAAGTTTAAGTAACGATCAGAAAAACTTCCAACCTGTCCATCTGCTCCGCATGAAGCAACAATGCCGTTTATGGTTGAGACTGATACATCAAATGTTTGTAAAAAATGGCTATAAAGATATTCCCAATTATAACTAACGCATGCGTTTGAGAAAAACCTGTTCGCTAACGGGACAACGAAGTATCCTTGTGATTGAACATCTGATGAAATATATGCGAGCGCAGTAGCTTGAGTATCTCCACAAGCGGCATATTCAGATTGGAAAGCAATCAAGCCAGGAAAGCATCGAGGTTCACTCATGACGCGGGAACCTCAAAGATCGAACAATATAGGAATTCCTTGAGAACGATGAATACCTGCTGTTCTTACAGTTGCCTCTTCCAGAACACATTCCCAATTTGTCACATCATAGACTCTAATCAGTCTTTCACGAAACGCGACAGCCACTCAAAAGGAAATTTTCAAAAATAGGAGTAAGATAGATCACTACATTCATATCCTTTCTGAAAACAAACATCCACTGCGGGAGAGCCCCATTCCAAATCTTTCAGAATATAAGGTTCTTTAAAACTTTCCAAAAGATTCCAAGTAACGATTTCACCTTCATCAGAAAATAAATATGAAAAGTTCGAATGATAAAATTACCAGCTGCGTTGGACGCACATACATATTGAGCTGGTCCTTGAGAACACCAAGCTAATCGTAAAATTGGAGGTTGAAAACTCTGAAAGACTTTATAAAGAAAAAGTAGAATGAATCATACCATTTCCTCCTCTAGCATTCCAGACATTTCAAGAAGAGAGTTTTCAGTATTTAATAATCTATTTTCTATACTGAGAACAATGTCAGGCTCATAGAAAACTACTGGAACATAGTTTGCACTCCCCGTATTAACACTCTCAGAAGACACTCTAGAATGAATGTTTGGTCACTTTAACTGTTTAATGTCTTAGCGCTACCTATAAATTAACACCGTTCCTTGAGAAGTACCCAGAGCTAAATAACCAATCAACGACTCGTCAGTCTTGTTCTTCCGATCTAACCAGGTAGCAGTGAGTAGGAGACCATGATCGTGTCTCAAAACAAACCAAGGTTTTATAGATTGTCTGAGAATGGGGAAAATTAAAAGATTATCGTAATATCCCAAACCTTTTCGTCGTGGAGTCATAGCAAAGTTTCCAGAATTGGCAAAAGCCATCATCTGTCTTCCAAGTAGAAGTGATTAAATCAGTTTCCGAAGGATATACCAATGTAACAAAAACTTCCTCATCTAAAGTAACTACAATGAATATGGGAACAATTTTTCACTCAACTTTCTGATAATTTATTCGGTGCGAACTCTATAGTATGAATAGGTCCACCAGCATACCCAGCGTAAATGAAGTCATCGCTTTCTTCTTCTACGCGGACAGATGTTGTTTCAAAAACTTTTAGTCGCTTGATACCAGGAGGCAAACAATCCTCACTCACATTCTGAACGGTACAAGTATGAAAAAAACTAAAGAAGAACTTACACTCGCATTTTTGATTTCCTTGAACGGTAATGACGACTTCTCGAGATCGAAATGAACTCTAGGACTGAAAATAAGTCTATTAACAGAAAATCACCAAATCTGCTGACATACTGTTCATAAACTGCAACCCAAGCCCCGGACTTTATTTCTCTTAGAGTACGACATAGCGTTTCTTTCGACTGCTCCAGTTCGGTACTCATCCCTGACTTAAGAACAAAATCTGTATAACGGACCCAGTCAGATATACAGGGAGGATTTGCTTAACAGCTTCAATAGAAATAGGATATTACAAAGTCACTTACACGTTATCTCACTCTTACGGAATCTGAACCGAAGAGCTCCGGAATTTGATATTCTAACACGTGATGAGTCGGGGGGTATATAGCCTGCCGATAAAGATACAGGATGTCTTCTTTTTCTTGTAGAACGTATAGTCTGAAAACATTGAAAGATTCAAGACGTCCCTGTGTGAATGCTCAGACTTACGCTTGGTGTGGATAAAATTATTTCTAACGCTTTTTCAGCTGCAATTTCTTCTAAATTGTTTTCACCATCTCCTGGCGACATATTGAGTCCGGCATTTTGACTAGCTATTGACATCTGTTCATTTATAGCTTTGTACATTTCCTTCCTTGCAGCACCCGAACTGAACGATAGGTTTTTTTCATAGCCGGAGCATACTTCACTTACTTCTCAAACATTTCATCTAACTCTTTTTTGATTCTGAGCTCTTCTTCCGTCAATCCACAATAAGCTAAATGAAGATCAGACTGATCTTGAGTAGTGGTGTAACCACATTTATAACACTTCCATGGTCTTTCCTAAAGAATCTCTTTACACGGAGTTGCTTACTTGCATTCATAGTTTGATGGAAGATATTACAAGGAGGCTTACCGCGATATCAACATTACATCGATCTAAGTGGTAAAGAAGTCCGTAATGATGTGAAAACATTCTTGGACAGGACAAACATTCAACTTGGTTGCTTGCAAATAACGCTTCCTTGACATATCTACTTTTTAACTGCTTCTCTAATGCACGGAATTCACTGGCTCTACCATTCTGAAATAACTCCAATCAGCATCAGTAAAATGCAAACTTACTGAATATGTTGAGTACATAGGTTTTATACAATTATTACAGTGTTCTACCGCATCGTTGATACTTGTAAACAAAGGACATGGCTGTAAGATTACATTAAAGAAGTCAGAAAACATAAGCATACCTCTGAATTACAATCTTTTATACTAAAACAGTTGTAGGGACCTTCTTGATATAGCCTTTTCAAAGCTTTGCATTTGTCGTTGGCACTGAAACGAACCCACAACGACGGCTCAGTCTGTAGGAAACAATATTCTTCCCTCATTTTCTTCCTTTCTTACCTTAAGCATTTCAAGGGATTCTAGTTCTGAAGACATTGACTTTCTTGGAATCCCTCTTCTACTGTCTAAACTTGGTAATCCTTTCATCATAAGCTGAAAAAGGTTAGAAGAACTTAACAATTAGAAACAATAATAATCCTTACTAATCGAATAGGTTCACCGTCATCTACATAACTGTTTTCTTCGGGTTCTTCAAGCTTAGCACGCCTCTTTGCCGTTTCCTTCAGATAAACTCTCTTGTATTAACTCAAAACGCCCTACGTACCTTTTTATGAGCGCTTCTAGTGCTTGGTAATCTAGCCATTATTAGTCAAAATTTTTACAGTATTTTTAGTATATCTGAAATATAATGTTTTTATTGTTTTCTAATTTCTTTCTACAAGTTTGGAACTTAAATAACAGGTTCAACAGCTATAATGATAGAAAAAACTTTCAAAAAACGCGCTTAACGCTACATACGTGACCGATATTCCTCACAAAAATAAAGCCAAGCTAGTGCCTCGATACCGTATGCATAATTTCCATTCTGCAAGCAAACTGATGGAACCTGCATTTAATGATTAACCTTATTATATTATAAAAACTATTAAGCAAGAGATAATCATAAATAAAGATTAATGCAAATTAGTGCGGTTTGCTATTAATGCTCAATCCATTGCTGTTGAAGCAACAGTCAGAAATTATCAGCTAGTGCGATAGTACTTCCGAAAAGATTCTTGATTCCAGTTGTATTTTACTCTTATTTACTTATAGAAAGGAATAATTCCGAGAAAACAATCGATTTGCATGAGTTCTGATAAAAAAAAGTAGTTTGGAACTTAATCTAACTTGCACCTGGCGATTAACTGAATCATTCGACAAGCATTGAATAGGTTGAACTTGAAAATCAAATATTTTAATGAGTTCGTCAAAAACGTAACAAATAACTAAAACTTTATTAGAAGTAATTGAATAAAAGGCAAGGCGCTTCTCTATTTGGAATTTTGCTTTTACAATTCTATGTTAAATGACAATGTGACTTACAATAAGCCGTCTTTAAGTAAGAGTACTATGAATTACATATAAAGCAACAAAGAAAATCTAAGATCCGACACATTGGCATGAGCAAGACATTGTTTAGGAATAAATCTCATATAAACAAACATAGAATGTATAACAAAATACCATATAGAATAGGAAAGAATTATATATATATATATATATATATATATATGCTTAAACTCATATAAATAGTTTTAGATACCTTAAATAGCTATACATAGTTAAGTGTTACTTTTCATGAAATCAACTATTTCGTATGAACTAAGTCGGGAGCTAGGCCTTTTCTCTTGATAGAATCAAGAACATCATCAGGAATTGCATGATTTTTAGTTGGAGCTTGTAAAGTTTCACGTTGATTTGTGAGTAGGTTCAATTGTTCCTGAAAAGGAGAATGTAATAAGACAATGATGAAACAACGTTTACTTTGTAATGATGCAAGATATCTTGATCTGCCGGACAGCTCTCAATGAAAGCAGCAGTGCGATATGCAGTCAAAATATAATTCCATAGATAAACAAGATTGTGAGGAATCTCGAACCTGAAACAATTGCAAAAATGTGATACGCGGAATGTTAACTAACTGTAACAGTCTCTGCCCAATTATCCTCATATGGTGAAGACGAGGCATCAGCTCGCAGTCATATTCAGTCATTGATGAACCGAGTAGGTATCTGGAGCTTCGTTCAAACAAGAGCTGCAACACGGCTAGACTGCTGACTTATTGGGTTCTTAGACTCACCTGATCTATTCCAGTTAACTGTTCAACTATTCTATTGTAATGAGATTTAATGTTTGGAGGTAAACTCTCAACAGAACTAGGCTCTTTTTTGCCCTTATCGAAATCAGTTTTAGCTCTCAAAAAAAGCTTGAAGTTCTAGAGTTAAAGTAGTTCAGTATCAAACACTTGAGAAATCATTTCTTACTCTGTACAACGATTCAATAGTTTTTTCAACAACAGGATCTTTTTCAAATAAAGGAACATTGAACTCCTTCGCTAGATGGAAAATTCTGCCCTCGATTTCACGATTGTCTGAGTAAGTCATTTCCCTTCAAAAAACTTAGTTAACAAATTAATTATATTAGGATTCAACTTCTCTTCCTCAATCATGATAGGAGGTTGAGCCCCGAGGAAATTCTTCTTAAAAGCTTCTGAGTTCACGTTAACTGTTTTAACCTGCAGGGAATGTTTCCGGGTCATCAAAATTTCAAACTAACTTCCACTCTCGCTACGCCAATTTCATAGAGAGCGAACAGTTCCATCCAAAACTCCTGGCAAAAAAGACAAGCTCCGATTCTTCTACTATCAATACCAGATGCCTAGGTATTTCCATATAACGCAGAAGAGACGATCGAGAGATACCTTTACATATAAATCAAGCAACGGCTTTTTCTGAAGATCGCCGCTTCCATTAGCTTGAACTTGATAATCGTCAGCCATATCAACTAAATTAATTCAGATAGAACGAAGCAAAAGAACAGCGTGGAACATTGGTTTTCATTGAATTTAAGAAACAATTGAGTATTTTTGTAAGTATAGATAAAGCTTATGGAAATCAGAAGAACATTTGACCCTAGTGCAACGATAGTTAGAGCTGGGAGATAACATTTCCTTGTTTTTTATTTTTAACAGAACGGAATCTTGTCGCTGATGAACTTCAGACAACTGAAAAGTTTGAGAAACCAGCACGTAGGGCGTTTTATCAATGACAGTACCTTACAAAATAACCAGAAAATCAATACCGTTGAAACATAAGTATTCGGAAAAAATTCAAACTAATTGACAGCGCGCGTAAACCAATCCGTCATTTCTGCGTTACCCGGAGGATAAAATGAAACATTGAACGGATGATCCAAAATTAGAAATGTGAATTGGATAAAAGAAATTTGAAAAGGATAAGATAGCATATTTAACGGCTATCTAGCCTTTAATAAGGTGTGGAGTGTTGAGCGTTGGCCGATTAAAACATCGTAAAACCGGCCGTTTTGATGGCTGTAGGTCTTTTGTAAAAGAAAATAAGACGTAATGAGAAGAGGAGTCAGAAAAAGAAAGTAGTTGAAAGACAAAACGGTAAGTGAGGAAAAGAAGATGGAGAAGATCAGAGGAGGAGCGTGAATGAATATGTGGAATTGACCTTAACCTGGATCATGATGAGGTCGGTATCGGACAACATCACAATGCCTTCTATCTAATAAAGCACATCCGACTATTTTATTCGAAATATTTCATCTTTATCTAATTAAACACGTTATATTAAATATATCTTATATGCTAGAAAAAAAGAAAGAATTGTCAAATGCTGTACTTGAAGGAACAAAGAAATTTTTTGATTATTCGTATCGAGTTTCATTGAGCTTTGAGTAGAGGCAAAGATGTATGCCCTATAGACATATTGTCACAACATATTCCTATTAGGAAATACTATATTATATTCTAGTATGAACGAATGTATAATTAGGCTTCATATGATAGCAGGTTCAGCCCCGATGGTAATGTTAATAAGCTCTCGATGGCGAATAAGCGGATTGGTGAAGTATTATGGGTGGTTAGACTTAATACAAACTTATATATCAGTTTATGATGAGAATGAGACACAAAGATAGAGTTATGAGAGGAATATTGTAAGCAACTGTCCCGCATGATAAGCAATTCAAAAATAAATAAAAAACATATTTTCACATTTTGGATTCGTTTTTACTTGGATTGACTGGACATGCTATGTGAACATATAGTTTGGTTCTAACTATTTTCGTAGCTTCCTATTGCATTCCAGACAAGTTAAAGATGAATCGATCCATTAGTTTAAAAAAATTGGAATGATAAACATGTCATCGGGCTAATAGGAGTCTTTATGACAAATATGGACATGTGTCATCAGATCGGTGAAAAAAAGGACCGTCATGCGAATACGCAAGTTGTGTCCTTTTGTAGAATGAATAATCTCTCTCAAAATTCCCTCAAAATAATGCTCCTACTATCTCTCTTACATCACGTTCTATCTCTCTTTTTCTCTACCTGTATATCACTTTTCAATACTTAAGGCAATTCTTTCCATTTCACAATGCATATTTAGTTCTACTGTGATTCATGAATGTTGTAATAGAATTTTATAACATTATCCATTCGGCTCGAAATGTTAAAATGTTCCTGAGATTGTGTGAACTAGATGAGAAACCCGGGATATACTATCGCCTCTTGTTGATCAACTAACAAATCAAAAACAGAAAAAAAAATTGCTGAATATGCAAGCATCACACAGAAGCGATATTAGCGATGTACAAAGCGAATTGACATGAATAGAGAAGTGATCAAGTTGGATGCTTAAGATACGTTGATTTTTCCGGACAACATGCTCAATTGAAGTAAAAGATTCGATTCAAAAAATTTGAAAATAGAATGAATTAAAAAGCTTGGAACAATTTGGACTTACAGGTAAACAAAGAAGTTTGTATCGCTTACTAAGATTCTTATACAAGACACATTCAAATAAAAATTAGAGCATTTCAACAACACATGAGATCTACAACGGAATAAGGAGTGTTGCATCCAAAGAGAAAAAGAGAGAAAATGGGAACCAGAAGATAATGAAAGCCTAGATGGTGATCGGAGATATGAATATGGAATAGCAGCAACGAACAAATCTCTCTCCTTGATTCATCTTACTTTTTTTCTTTTTCTCTGATATTCAGTATGAATGATGATTTGGAAAGATATTATTCAATTCTTCTTTTATCCTATCCTGCGTGACTATCTCTTATTAAACTTCTTTAAAAAAACAACGCAAAAAAAAAATTACGAATGTTTCAAGTATTCATGATAATTCTCAAGAAAATTGCAATTTCAAAGTTATAATCGTTCTCAATCAGTTCACAAGTCTGCTAACAGAGCCGGATAGTCTGGGTAATATCTATTGACACAACGACTACAAAAACCGAAAGAAACTGTGGCCGGAAATCACAGCAGACATCTGACACTGCTGTTAAATAAAGTCACTTATTTAAGCGGAGTATATCAAAAGATTAGGTCAGATAGCGTGAACAACCGTTTCTCGCATCTGCAACCCGAAAATGAGCGCGCGAATAACTTGGCGCGCACGCGACGGACGTGAGAAACCACATTCAAATGTGAACGTAACAATTACGAATTGAAAATTTGAGATGATCTTGAGATATCTTCGAATAAGAAGGGCTAGAAGAATGACTTATGGCGTTTTTTCATATTGTAAACCATCATTCTCAAGAACAACTAACTTGAGAAAAACAAAACAATAATCATTAAGGAGAAAAAAAAAGTTCACATACGAGTATACACTTAACCATATAATAAATATAAGGTCTTCTTTCAACTATTCAAATGGAAATTGTATATTTTTTTTGAAAAAACTTTTTGGCTGTCGTCTTCCTATAGAATAGCTATTGCCTGTTTACACAGTGAATTTGTTGGAAAAAAGGCAGAGCAATTGATTGGACAAGCCGACAAAAAGAACATGATTCCCTTGAAAAAGTGCTTTTCAACATCTTCGGCGATGGTTCTTTCTTATTTACAAATAACTTTGTATACCTCTGAAAGCTATGAGCGATGGTCCTCTTCTCTTTCAAAACGGTTTGCGGTAGGTCTGCTCGCAACTAGGAAAATGTTTTTTACGTCTTGAGTTTCAGGGTAAACTCATGACAGTATTATCAATAGAACACACTTTGAATATCGTAGGAAGAAATCTGTTTCTGTTTTGTAGATCGGAATTTTGAGCGATGTAAGCAATAGAAAGAGATGTAACGGAAATCTTAAATGGAATCGTAAAAAGTCTTTTGATAGGTTTTGTCGATGTTCTTAAAAGATAGAAATTTATGAATAAATAGAATACAACTGTAAAAAGAGGAGGAATATATTTCTGTCAAATAGATTGTTGTATTAGAACCTGGAGATGAGAGGAATGAAAGGCTGCAATGTGATTATCTTGCTATGTTGACTGAATTAATGAAATATTTAGTGCACTACATTGAGAGAAGTATAGCAATTTACGCATACAGGGACGAGAGAATTCATTATCAAACAAGAAAAAATTACTTAGGTAACAATGAAATATTCTATTTATGCGTATCTGTGATGATATAATGAAGAGAAGATATAATGCGAGTTTTTAACAAAATTCTAATAATATCACTGAGGCGTCAAGCCATTGAGAACGATAGCTTAGAAAGATGATGATAATCATTACGGGAAAATACGAATAGTCAAGAGAGTAGAGAGAAGTCAATTGTGCGACTTTCGCAAAGAAGACGAACGAAGTGAGGTTGAAAGAGGATCAGCGAACAATTGAGTAAACAGAACAGTCTGAAAAATCATCAAAGCCATCGATCGTATGACCATCAGTTGATGATAGTGATTAAACGCCATTGAAGATTACATAAAAACGATTGTCATTTACATACCATGCAGCTATGAATATATATTATTTCTTAATATCTTAATGGTAACGGCTCATTGAATTTCGAACCATATAGTGAAATATAGCTAATATCATCACCATATCAACTTTACCGAAACCTCAGACCTCATCTCACAAGAGCAACCGGGTAACGTGACTCCTACAAAATAAATGAGAATCGCGCGCCAAGAGTAATAACGTTTATTAACGGAAAACAATTAATGCGCCTATATTGCAATCAATAGAGAATGAGATTATAGTATTTCTTAGTTCAGATCAATCAGTGTTTATTTCTGAAAATAGTTGCCCTTAATTGACGTACAGGTTCATTCTTATCCTCTTCACTCTTTGTATTACGTATGCTCCGTAATGGAACAGTTCCAACTGAAAAAATGTTTGTAAACTTATAATGAATATCAACATACGAGACATGCAATAGTGATATTTCTTGTTTTGCCTTCCTTTCACATCACGTAAGAATTCAACCTTAAATCGAAGTAATAAATCTAGTTGGTCTTCTGGTTTATTAATATACCTGATAGGAACCGTTTCCTTCAGCCATAGCATTTGCGGCACTGCAGCCCAATAAAGCACATTTTCGAGTTGCAGAGTCTATTGTTTCTCCTGATGATTTCCCCAGTATAAATCCAGTACATTCCTGTTATGATATATTCAGGTAAGAGGGTAAGTAATTAAATTCTAATACTTGATTATAATAAGTGACAAAGTTTTTGTTAGTCTGCCCACTGCTTGGTTCTTCTCTGAAGACAGCCAAGTATTCATCTTTTTCAGAAACATGATTACTTGATGAAACCTGAAAAACTATCATTTAAAACGTTATAGCCATACTTATTTGTTCTCATGCAGCTTTAATTCACACGTTTTCATAGTAGCGTTTTCAATAATTGGAAAGAGAATCTTTCATAAAAAATTTTTTTCAACTGATGGACATACTTGAATTTGTCCTCCAGCGCTGTATCCCGATGTTTGAGTCATAGGAGCCATAGAGTATCCGAAAACCGGTTTGGTGCTGACTACTGTATAAGTTTCAGTTTGTTCATCAGTCATGCGAGAGGTAACTTCTACGATTCTGATTAGTATTATGAATAATAGTTTCTTACCGTATTCAGCTGGAGCTATCGCGACAGGTGTATCTTTCGGATGTTGATCTGATTGTTTTTGGTGTGAAGTTTGGTGTTGCGTCAAATGGGGACTCATTACAAAAGTTGGGGCTGGAATGTAAGAAGAAGATGGAGCACTTGCTGATGGTATGGGTGGAGGGGCTCCATATCCTTCTTGTGACTTCGCGTATGCAATAGGCGAATTCAAAGAATAGTCGACAGTCCGATCCTGCATAAGTGGTGGCGATTGAAAGACCTATTGTGGGATTTACTTGATGTGTCTGAATGTATGAAGGCTGTTGTTGAACTGAAAAAGCACTGAAGCTAGGCGAAGAGGCAGGATAAGCAACTGGAGCCATGTAAGGCGTTTGACCACATGGACATGTAGTACATCCACAACTTCCCGCTAATCCTTAGAATGATATTATGATCGAAGCAAGAACTACAACACTAACCGTTCGATAAACAGGCGAAGACAGTCTTACACAGGAGTAAGGCTGATAGAAAACAGATCATATTTCCAAAGGTTTTTACTATTCAAGAGGAGTTGATCAAAAGCTGAAAAAGTCAGATATTAAAAGATGAGTGTTCAGCTGCACATAGAGATATTTCAACTGAAATTGCTAAGGTGATATTATGAAGACGGGGCGGGCAGATTCTAAGGGTTAGTGGGCCATTAGTAATGGCATCAAAGGAAATAAGTAAACAGCATCTTACTGGATAAACCGGATTTGAAATGTTAGAACAGACTGAAATGTATTCCTATCATTTTCTGAAGCTTGAATTCACACATTTGATTGGTTCCCTTAAGCAGATATATCAAATCAAAAGTTGGAGTCAAATGTTTGTATAAGCAAATCGTTCTAGCCATACGCATATGTTTGAGGATAAAACTAGTAGGATACACGTTTCTCAGAATCTGTACAGTTTTGGAATTTCGTTCAAGAAAAGAATAATCGTACTCATCAGGGTTCAGACCATGAAACAACTAATTCTTGTCATTCATGTGCAGAGAATTGTTGAAACTTATTTAAAGCTTTATAATTCTGATGAGAACTTATATAGGGACTCATATGGAGTGTAGCGATTTCGAAAGAAAAAGACAGGACGAAAATCGAGTGGTCATAAGGCGTGAGCTGGTTAAATTTCGTATTTATTGAAGAGAAACTTTGTTTTACACGTTTCGAAAAGTGCAGAGGTGAAGATACTGAGATGCGGGGGTTAGTAAAGTAAAAAACCAGGCTATTCTAGTGGGGATTAAGTCGAATGATTGGAGGTGAATTAGTGACATCGTTTGGGAGGATTAGAAAGCGGATATAAACTGAATACTCCATGATTCAATTCTCTACCAAAATCTGAATATATAGTTGAAGTGTCTCGGTTAGGTCTGCTTATACTAACATAAGCAGATGTTCTTGTGTATCTTGGAATGTTTTGACTAACACAGATAACAGAATCATATTCTTCGATTTCATGATTTATCGGATATTATTAGAAATGTTCAAAATTCTAAAATACGCTCAATGATCCGTTCGTTACTAACATATTTTCTTTTATTTCAAACTAAAGATGATTCTTCGAAACAATTGAACAGGTGTAATTGAAATCAAAACTAAAACCGGTTTCAAACTCCTTGTAAAATTTAGAATACTACTGTTGTAAAATTTTCAGTGTCATACAAAAGATAGCAAAATAGAAACTTTAATAAGTAATATAGGTTTTTTGTACTTAACAATACTGTTATCATCGTTGTGATTGATTATTACTATCTAATACAATAGTTTTGACTAAAAATTACGACCCTGGCAGGACTCGAACCTGCAATCTTCGGATCCGAAGTCCGACGCCTTATCCATTAGGCCACAAGGCCACATTTCGAACAGTCGAGTGTCTAGACAAGACGCCACACTGTCAAACAACTGTTTGATGTGCGGAACAATAGTTGACCCAGCAATAGAAGAAAAAAAAACCTTTTCACATGTAGATTCATTTAAGTATATTACAAAAATAAAACAAAAATCAACAAAATCTAACAATAAAGTGGCTAAAATCTAACTATAACTAAACACCCGTAATTGTATTTTTTATAACAAGACATTCTGTTCTAAGATTCTCCTAAAACTTTAGAGCTTAAAAATAGCATTTATCGGAACCAGTCAGTTTACACAGCAAGTGCTGCTTCCTGCATATGAACTTCAAGCAGTTTCCATGCGACAGCTGGATTATACTCTTCCATATCGCGACACATAACCCATACATGATGCACTCTGACAGGATTAGTCTGAAGAACAAATTTCACGAAATTGTTAGAAATATATCATACCGGGTCGCCTTGAACGACTTTTCCCTCCGAGTTCTTCACAACATTTATCATGAAAGCTTGGAATGTAATAATGAGAACAGGGCCTTGTTCCATCATTTTACCAGAAACCATCTAATAAAAATTATCTTCGAAGAGTGCTGGAAGTTACATACCTCTACTTTATGAATATCAATAATTTTAGATTCAGCGGTGGAAAATTTGATTTTTTCATATTCTTTTACTACTGTGGCCAAGGCATTATAAGCCTGCAATTTCACTATACTCACATCAAGCTCATGAGACCTACTCTCTCGTGACACCAATCTTGAAGGATTTCGAGATTTCCAGCAATGAAAGCTTCTAGTATATTAGGAATAACTTCTTTCTCACAGAACTTCAGCCACTCGATCTTATCGAATGATGGATCCACCTTTGCAATTTCGGTCAATACTTCCGAGACCTCGTTTTGACCGGCTTGATTAAAACATTTACACAAATCATGGAGTAGACTATACCGAAAACGCTTGAAACTCTATCCGTAACACTTCTCATGAGTCTCACTGCAATATTATCACTTTCTTCATATCTTATTTTCCAATCAAGTAATTCTGGAAAGTAAACAGCATAAACAAAATGAGACGTTCCTCACTATTGTAGTAGGCATTCTCTTCTGAGAACTTCTTCCAGCCAGAAGCCCACTTAGAATCTTTATGTAACGTTACATCAGTTGCATCACTGTAAGAAAAGAATATTAAGGTAAAAAAAATTCGAACTGAACTCATTCGCCTCAACTGTTCTTTTCGCCCATTCTGTGGACAGAGAGCCTTCTGTTCTCTTTTTCAACTGAGCTTAACAACTAAAGATTAAATCTGGAGAACAGTTCCGTCGCACCTGGCCTACTGTACATTCGAACATCAGCAATATTATCAATTTCATCCTTTACTGTTTTCATAGACTAAGAAAATGTGCAATGAGTGTGTCTAAGAGAATGTCTTACCGTGGATACTTGTTTATATACCTCAGTATCTCCTACCTTCTCCGCCATCTTCTCTACATGTTCTGCAGCTACACGTGCCTAGCAGAATTCTGTTGTTGAAGTAATTCAGACTCATACTCACTTGCTTAAGAGCCTCCTCACCAGCTGCCGTTATCTTCTTTCCCGCTTCAGTTTTTTGAACTTCTTTTACCATCTATTAAAGCGATTAATACATACTGTCACTTATTTATTGGGTGCTACCTTAGCAATTTGATCAGTGAGCTCTTCCATTTTTTGTTTTACTACTTCTGAGCTTTTCACAGTTTGTTTTTCTACAATCTCCTACAATCGAAAATATACCCAATAATAAGAAGGAATCAACTTACAAACTTTTTCCTAGCTTCTTTGAGTTGATCACTGTCATTCAACTCTCTCATTCGCTCTCTCAATTGGGCTTGATGATCCTGAAAACAAAAACATTTTTTTGTAAAATATTACGTTGGTACCTTCAACTCCTTGTTCCTGTCTAGTTCCTCTCTTACATTGTCGATGAGATTACCTATGAATCCTTTCTTTTGGGGTTGACTATAAAACCGTTGGGATAGCGAAGCGTTACAAGATGGTAAGTTTTTAAAAATTAGTGAAGATGTTGTTGTTCTAGATACCAGTACCTTGGACAATTGAAATGTTCGTAACATCTGAAACTATAATGATGCAAAGTGGTTCATACAACAGAAGCCTAAAATCAGCACAAAATCGAAAAAAAAATCGATGAGGCTCCAAAACAATTAAGAACTTAGTTTTTATCCATGAGAGAATTGGATAACAATTATCATACATGAACTTAATATGCATATGGTATAGCTTACTGCCGAGCTTAACATGATGCCTGCTACTGACGAATTACTCTATTATCAGGATATTCGTGTTAGGACCAATAAATGCAAGCGCGCGAGAGTAAAAGATGTAAATTTGAATACTGTCTGCACCATAATATTTGAGATTGCACTTTTTATCTATTTATTTCCTCACAAGTAGTGAACCTTTAAAATGAGTGAAGACAAAGGATCTCCTTCTCATGAAATCCCACCGAATGATGATGGTAATGATTACCAATGGGAGCTTAATATGGAAAACGTCAAACCTATTAGAAGAGGTAGGAGGGCTGAGGCTGTTCATCATGTAAGTGTTCACTTTTTTTGTTAAAATTGGTGTTCGTTGTTTGAGGGTTTTGCTGCCGGTGTTCCACGAGGCGAAACTGTGGTCAAAGAAAAATTCGATGGTATGATCGAAGAATGTGAAAGCTCTTCTGACCCATTAAAGCACTGCATTGACTTCTGTGCATGGTTTGATGATACGTTTCCTATTGCTAGGCAGCGTCTTTACTATAAATACCTTTGGATCATTGTTAAAAAGTATTTCTGTTTCTCATTCTTTTCTAATTATCAAGTTTCAGATACGCACACGAGGAACGGTATTTAGAGGATGTTCGAATGATGATAATCTGGGACAAACTGGCTGAAAACAGTCTAGGGCACGGTTATGAAATATATCAGCATGCTCATTCAATGGGTTCTTTAACCAGGCATAGGAAACCATCTTTGATGACGTTATCCATTCTCGTTTAGATGTGCCTCTCTATACATTCGATGGGCTGAAGATTTGGAACTTCGTGGTGCTATGGAAGATGCTCGCAGTATTTTCAGAAAAGCTCTGAGTTTTGGTGCTCTACCTTTAGAGGTCAAATATTCTCTTATCATTGTTTATATAACGTATTGTTTTTTTTAGGATTTACACGCAGCTGAAGATAGTATGGAAATGCGAGAAATGAGAAGAGAAATAGAGAGGAATAATATTTCTGATGAGGAGGATGATATCGATGATAACGGCCAAAGAGTTGCTTTCACTAGAATAACAAGTTTCCTTACTTCTTCTACTTATTTACTTTTTTTCTTTTCCAGGAGATATGCCAGAAGCCCCTGTTGTAAGATTACCATCGATTGTTGGCGAGCAAGGTAGTAACAAATTAGATCGTGGAAATTATGCAAAAACCAATAATCAGAAGAAAATTAATACAGTCATAGAGGTTTTTTTTTAAAATGAACTCTATACAAATCTTGTTAAGGTATTTGAAGATGATGCTCCGATACAAGAGGAAAACTACTTAGAATCGCTGTATGACATGCACATGGACAATCATATTGAACGACTTATTCTAACTGAACATGTTGGGGAGAAAATCAATCAAAATACGGTATAGCGAGCGCGCTGAAAAATAATACGAAACCTCACAGGCTTGCATAAAAAAACATCGTAATAATGGTCCAGCTTTTACTGTATGGAGTGACGACAAAGAGAACATCAATCCTGAAAACGGAGCTCTTCCTAAGCCAAAGCCGAAGCTGCTGTTACATAAATTTCTGGTCTCAGAATTTTCAATAGAGGTTTTTCAATATATCTCTGTTTCAAACTGAAATATCGTCTAGGAGCATATGGCTAAGCTCTGGACAGAGCAGAAGGAAGAAAAAGTTAGAGCTGGCGTTCGAAAACTGACTTTTGACGATGATAGCGATTAGATCAGTGCATTGTAAATAGTGTTTATATAGTTGAATTGTAATTATTTCACTTGGAAAAGTCTCAGTATATGTTTTAGGCATTGATTTGTTTACGATTTAATCATATTATAGCATAAATTTCGTTTTCATACCTGTTTGTGTCAATGAGAAATATCTGGTTGATTTGCTTGTAGAAATTTTCACATACGAGGGTTTACTAAGCTTGTTTGTTTCCTATGTTTATGGCAAAAAGATCGAAAACGATCGTACAAGCCGTTGGCTAAAAACCACTTCTCTTCCTTCGCTAAGAAATCAGAATTCTTCATCAGTAGACTGGGCTAGTTTTTTCTTCTCGAGGCTTGTTTCACCGCATCTTCCTTGCATTAAAAAGTTTTGGAGATTGCAGAGGAAACTATAGTAACAACTCTCGCTTAAGAACGTGAAGAAACAATTCTTCCATTTTTCTCATCATATATATGCATTGCTATGAAAACAACACAGCTAACTGCCGGTAAATTATATTGAAATCACAGTGTTATAATATATGTGTTTCTATTATATGATAAAAAGATGTAAAGTACTCCCCGACTGATATGAACCGTCGAGAGCCGCATCTATGGTGCTATGTAACTTTAAAAATGCGTGACTTTTGAAAAGACTTCATCATTCCAGTAAACTGTCACTAAAGCGTGTTATTCTACTGAAAAGAAAAATAATTTCATACTTTCCCTCTCGTAGTGAACTCAAACAATGCTCTCTAACCAACATGTTGTCATTACGTAGCAATCGAGTTAGATCCGAAGAGTATCAGTTTCAAACTATTAAAGTTGAAAAAAAAACAAATAAAAAATATTTGTAGTTGGAAAACCCTGCTCTAATCAATTTTTGTCACTTAATCCCTCCCTTTACTTTCATATTCCCGCTTGAGTGCATTTTTTTTGCGTAAACGGAGTTTATCAGCAATTTGGAAACTGTTATATTTTTTTTTGAAATTTTCAAACATGTTTTTATATGTAATTTTCATTGTATTAAGCCAAAATGCTAACATTTGACCTTCCTGCAATAAGCATTTTTTGTGGAATTTTTCAAAGTGACTTTTCAAAATACATTGACTAGATTATCTATGGAGCATTGTTGGTAGTTTTTTTGTCTCTAAGTTTTATCGATTTTTGATAATTGGAATTTCGAACATTTCATCTTTGCTTTGTTTGCCACTTATGTTACTTGTTGTCGACTTCTTTCATTTGAATCTCATTAATGAGAAGAAGCGGTTGGTTTCACATGGGAGTTATCTCGTATTCAACAAAGGTAGCGTAGGTGGCAATCAAACAATTCAAATATTGCGATACAAAACTATTGAATTTGTTTTTAGTAGTGCTTCTGCGAGTGTTGTTTTCTCCGTTATGAAGCATTCGCCGCAATGGACACAAAACGATAAACTTGGGGATGGTAGAGTAGAAACGCTTAATGTAGCGAAATTTTTTTCGGTTTAGGCAATTCTCGGGAACGTCGTCCATCCGGTGCATCATCAAATCAATCTCTTAATTGTCGTCAGAGGAAAGGGCCAAAAGAATATAGTAACAGAAGTAAAAATAAAACTCTTGAAAAAAGCTCAACATAAAATTTAGTATTTGAATCTGGTCGTCACTCGTCAAGGGCTTCACGAATATCGGAAGGGGAAAGTCACCGTCTTCAGCATTTGCCTTATGATCCTCATCAAAATTCGGAACATATGACGCAAGCCCAATCAGTTCCTGTTGATGTTGAGTTTTTACAAAGGCATGCAACCAGTACAGTTTATACTATGTAGATCTTAAATCTTTCAGACCACAGTGGCCTGGAAATAATGTACGGCAAACCAGTCATCGTTCACATTCCGCTACAAATAGAACTATTAATGTTAATGGTAAAACTCGAGATATCGATAGAGATCGTGACTCTTGTGAGTATCTGTTTATTTTCTATGTCTAACTTAGCTTACGTTTCAGGCCGAAGAACACCGAACCCTGAAAGTACTATTAAGTTAGAAAATAAAAAACAGGGGGGACCTGTTACGTATATAGCTGCAGGAACTGCACCAGTTGCCAGGTTTCGTTTTTTTCCATAATTAAAAACACTGCGGAGTTTCAGCTTTCGTAGTACTGTCTCTCCCGTACCCACGTCGGTTGTTAGTTCTCCCTCGTCAGGAGGCTATGCAAACTCAGTGCACAGCATGAAACGACCAATAACCTTCTCTCCTTCACTATCAGTGGAAGATTCCAAATGTGATCCTGTGGCATATCGCAAACACAAATTGTTAGAAGCTTTTTTGATTTGTACTCAACTGTTGAGTTTAGTTCTGGCATTGATTTGGGTAAAGGTACAATATTCAACCATGATCCAAGGAATAACAGATATGGAGGACAGAAGGATAAACGAAATCAACTCTTTTATCAAGGTTCAGTTTTTATTTTTCTCTTTATCATGATAATATCTAATGCGCGGGCATTCGTTACTCTCCTCTTGGTGTATGTCCAGGAAATATGAAGAGATATAACGACTTTTCTTGTCGCTCTCATTATTATTATAAGAAATGGTTTCTCTTATACTAAACTTTCGTAATAGTTATACTTATTTGATTCATCAAATGATATTATTGTACAAGGTTGATATCATTCTTTCAGGAGCTCCAGGCAATCTCTCACGAGTCTTGGCTGAAATTGATATACAGCAAGCTCTGGATAGAATGTCACCAATAACCGATGATAATTCCAAAGATGTAAATTGGATGGATCGTCAGACTGAAGCAGCACGTGTTCCATTCCCCTTGCCTGGTGGATTGAAGCAAAACCACAGGTTATCTTTTTTTTTCACCGGTGATTAGTGCTCATGTGGCCGATTCCCTCAGAGTTTATTTGAGCGTCAAGTTAACTGCTTTTTAATTGGTAGGGTTTTTAACAGTAGTTATCGATTTGTTGATGGTCGTCTCCTCCCCTCGCTGTTTGGATCGTTGTCATCTTCGTTGACTGTTCCGTATTTCTTTTTGTTCAGTCAACGTGACGTCAGCCACTTGCCGGTTCGCCATGGCCGAGTAGATCGGAATGCGCATTGACGACCGGTCCTTGGCGCAATGCTATCTCTGTGCTTCAACCCGTTTGCTGCCCTCTCGAGCTTCAAGCTTATGTCGATTTCTCGAAGAATATTCTCATTGCTGTTCTTTTATCCTTCGACTTTTCCCCCTTGTCAGCTGTTTGCTATCCTGGCGATACAATTAGAGGGTGGTTCAGTTTTGAACATGTATACGAATTTTGTTATGATTTTAATTGCTGTGTTCTAGCGTTGAAATGCAAACAATTTAATGAGAAAGTGTATGATCGTTGACTCCAGCGCTCTTCGCCACCTCTTTTTCGTCGTTATCATTGTCATCTTCGAAGCGGCGAAACCAGCCGGCAACATAGAAATTGTCTATTTGCTCGTAATTTGCTCACCTCACTCACATCTATGATTTTGGAAGTCAAACTAATAAGCTTGTGGGAAATAGTTGCTTTTAATTACGGCAGTACCAGAAGAAGTTTGCCGAGCAACTTGAGAATGATGCCGACAATCGACCGCATGGCGAGGTTTCGTATATTTCGGATCACGTGTTTTATGCATTCATAACATGTGTTGTTTGTTAGATTTACTCTCTACTATTTCTCTAAATTCCATGGAAGTGTGGAAAACTTCATTCGTTGACCATCTTTTGCCGTCTTAGTGGTCTTTCTACGCTCCTTTCCGTTTCGTCATTCTTGTCAATACATGTTCTTCATCAATGTCCGTCGTGCGACTGATCTGTTTTGGAAGTTCTTACTTGCAACATTACGTTTGAATGCCATTTTGTTATAATCTTTTATCTGTTTCTCTCTTGACTTTCTCTTTTATAACCAATTTGAGTCACAGTTCGTCTGATAACTTGTATCCTATCTTTTTCATGATTGGTAGTGTTTAGAGAAAGAATTCCTTATTTTCCTGTGGTCAATGGTTATATCTGGTTGCTGTCTGAATAACCAGGAGACTGATTACGACAGCGAAGAGGATGTAACCGCCGCAACGCCGCTGTTCTTTCTTGTTCTGCTTAAATCTCCAAAAGCTACAGCGTATTGAGAAGACTGTCTTTGTGACTAACGATCTTTCGTTTTCACTCCTTATTTTTAGTTTGCTTATTCGAAGGAAATTTATTTTTTAATGATAAGGTTGCTGGCAATATGATATTTTTTTAATGGCGAGCTGATCAATACGCTAATGTTTGATTTCTTATCACTCGATAAGGTGATGTTTTTGTCAACGGTAGTCACAAACGCAAAAATTTGAATTTGTTCATTTAAGTTATTACTTATGTTAATATTGACATCAGTTCAGTAGTGGTTGCCCTAATTCAATTACTTCATTTTCTTCAGCATTCCTTGTAGAATAGGCTATACGTTATCATTCTTGTTATCTCAAAGCTGTTGCTATCTATTGGTTTCTATATTCCATCGCTATAGTGGCCGGTTTCTATTTCACCCCGTTCCTTATTATATTTTATATCAACTCTATTTATTTACCGAATAGACTTCCATTATCTTATCTCATCTTCAGGAAATATTAGACAAGGTCCAAAACTTGGAGTTTTCACTTGCTTCCGCTGTTTATATATCGAAGGCTCTCCTATGCCTTCATCTGCTGGCTCTTCCGACTCTGGTTGCCCTGGTCTTCTGTCGAATTTCGAGAACACCTTATGTGATCACTGTTCGGAGCCAACTTCACCTAGCAGTTTCGGAACTGATGAAGACGAACCGCTTTTTGAAACTTACTATCCTCCTGAACACTCGAAGAATAGTCGAATAAACAAGAACCGTCGCCAAAGAGAAAATAATGCGATATGCCAGGACTCTTCCTCTATCTCAAGTTCTAATAGTGAAGCAAACTCTGTTTTGAGTGAGGAGGATCGCAGAGTTACCATATCACTGGATGACGTTGTCCATCATATATATGTTTATTTCCAATCTTTATTGATTGTTATTCGCAGCCAGCAAAAATTCTTCCAGCATATAGATGGCTTAGTGGCTGACGGAGATGCGCGTTGGGGTGCCTGCGATCATAGAAATGGTTGGCGAAGTGATCCATCCGGTTGTTTTGCCCCTGTAGGAGATCCGTCAAGGCCGGTATCCTTTCCAGGCTTGTGGGCCGTTCCTCATCCAGCCGTTCATTTGTCCATTATTATTACTATTATTCAAGACTACTTAAATTTTTTGACGCGGTGAGATTTTTCTCTTCTGAGCAAATGAGTGCTTGAAGGAAGTTTAGCAGCGCTTTTTTCTTCTCTTCTAGCAAAACCTCTTTCAAATAAGATGATTTATTGAGTGTGAAAATATCAGTTTTCTTGCAGTCTCCACCCCAGTCTGGCACCTCGAACGAATATTCCACCTAACCATCTATCGAATGGTCATGAAGATTCAAATATTCTGGCTGGATCCAGAATGTCAAGAAGTAAATAAACCAATTGGTTTCTGTACCAAAGTTTTGTATATTTAGATTCCTCAGGAGATATGATTCTTCCTGAAGAAATGATGCCAATGCTCATGAGAATAGTTCAAACTCAGGCGTTGCCACAAATGCCTCTGGAGGAAAGTGCGAGTAGAGATGACAACTCAACTCTTAATCCTACAAAGTGAGTTCGCTTTTTTCTCATTAGAGGTACCAATACGGTGTTTAGTTCCTGGACCGGGATGGCACCAGCAATGATGCATCAAATAGCATCTGTGTTAAGCCATCAAGTCCAAGCTCAATCAGGTACACATTCCAATCCATCAGTATCAACCCCTGCTACACCCGTGAGACAAGTACCTTTGGTAAAACATCCCAAACTATTCATTTTTTTTACAGAATTATTCTACTGTTGTAGCGGGGAATTCTCATTCTTCCGTCAATAATCCCTCTGTAGATCATGGAAAAACTGCTCCCGTTGCTTATTCAGTCAAAGCTGCTTCGCAACCAAAAGGGAATAGTAAACGCGAGGAAAAAGGTAATGTCATATTTTTTCTACACAAAGAAAATCAGTGATGCGATTCGTTATCATGGACTCTGTTACAACCTTGCATTTTCTTTTCACTTTCCAAGTTTGTTTTCCTAACTTGGTCAGAATTACAAAAGCCAATCAATATGCAGTTTTGTTCCAGCTTTTCTTTCATCTTTTTTTTACGTGGATGTAATAGAAAGGAAAAGCTGAAATAGAATCGAATTCAAGTATTTTTTTATAAATTTATTACAGCCGCTATTGCACCGATCTTACTGCCCCTGGTTTCTGATAGGGAGTCTAAAAGATCCGATGACAAGAGCTTGAAAGTTTTGACTGGTGATACAGGTGAGTATGCTTTTGTTTTTTTTTAAATAATGAGAGAGTGGTGTTGAAATTGTTATTTTCTCAAAGAACATCAGGCAGCTGACCAATTGAAGGTCGCACCTTACATGATCAGGTTTTTCACTTGTGAGAACACTTCCACATTTTTAGTAGAAGTTTTTTCTAATTTTTTAAGTTAATTCCCTTAATATCTCAATCATGTCATCTTTCTTTCCGTCTTCTTTTCCTATTTCTGAAGAGGCTATCCGTTTTTTCGGTCTGTGATGAGTGTATGGTCTTATGTTTTTCTTTTCTTTTTGTTCACTCTTTGGGGATGTTAAATTTTTTCTTTTTTTCCTATCTCTCCTATTGATTTTTTTCTAGCATTGTAACTTCCTGTCATTATCTTCACTATAATTTTCCATCTCCAAACAGTTCACGTATGAATACTAGATTGCTATCAGTTTTACTTGGCTATTTCTTTGCTTCAGCTGTTAAGTGACGTCTATTTCATATGGTTAAAGTGTTTTTCTGATAGAAAGTGGGGATAGAAAGAGACAATCATCTTTAGAAACTGCGCTAATTTGATCCAGATATATGAAAGAATGACGATTTCTATCGGGCAGCGTCATCGTTGTTATCTGTCATTGCCGCTTCTGGATCACTGTGAAAGATGATGAAAAACAGGAGACTCAGAGAGTGAACCGACTTGAGTTTATTTAACGTGCTCCGATATAACAATTTTCCGCTCATCCTCAGCGAAAGTGTTGCCAAAAGCCTAAGTGATTAGAACCATTTGGAAGTATTGTCGTCGTCTATTAGTCGATCTTAGCACAGCACGGTATGCATTCTTAGATAAGTAGTGGAAAGGGCGCATACCCTGTTAGATCGATAGTCGATATTGCGCGCCACAAACTGCGACGTATTGGTGGTGTATCGTTGATGATTCGTTGACCGTGAGCTGGTTTATCTCAGATTTTGCTTAATCTTTTCTATTTCTTTCGAGCTTGAACCAATTAACTCGTGCTCGTTCATACACTAACAGCTGTTTGGAACTTTCTTAGCACTTTTGAAATTTAAAAAATGAGCTGTTAATTGGACAATCCATCGTCGTCTAGGTCTAATTAGAGAAATACTTTTGCGTACGCGTCAATGTGATGAGTTTGTCATTGCACACGGTTTTTCTGGTTTCGCATAGTTTCATCAAAGTTTATGCATTATACTTTATTTTCTTATGCGTTCTCTCCAAGTCGATCACAATCTATTCTCTCGCTTATCAGTGTACTTCTGCTCTGTTTAAGGTCTATAATTTGTTTCATTCTCCTTGCTTTTATTTCGTTCTTCTGTTTTTTTTCAATATGTTCTTTATTTATCTGATTCAGAAATCCCATATCCTGCTAAGTAGAACAGTAATAAGTTGTATTATTGTTATATACAAGTTCTGCTGAAGAACATTGCCATTCTTTTTATACTTTCTCTCTCATTTACGGGCATTTCGCGATCTGTTCTAACAACGTAGCGAAGGACGCTTATGTCTATAAGAGATAAGATACGAATAATTCGAAGTAGTAACAATATTGGCAGCTATGATAGCTGGAAAGGATGACCATGAAAGGTATCGCTATGTGTTGCCCACAGTTTTGAATGTACCATCACGGTCGTTTCCAAGAGGCTACTCTGGTCACCCTTTCGTTCGTAGGCACCAATACCATACCTTCGACTACTCTATATCCAGAAGAATTCGCTTGTCTCTGTCAAGTGGAGAAGATTTAAGCCTCACATACGCTGATATTCTATCTGAATTGCAATGGCATTCGGAAGACAATGATGACGATGTGTTGGACGAAGACGAGTATGATTGGGAAGAAGAACCGAATTCGTCAAGCAGCAGTGACGTTAGTGAAAGACCCCGACGATGTGAAGTTGTGCCGATGAGCGATGAAGAGCTCGAATATCTGGAACAAGCGCATTCGCGTAGTCGTCTTTTGTCTATATATAGAGAACCTAGTCTACGTTTTATTACTATTCCTTCCGTTACATTCGTGACTCCGCAAATTCCAGGTAATAGTTGCAACATACATGAAAATCCCCCTTTTGTGAACTCAATAGTTGATCGGTAAAGCCGGACTAAAAGCGGGGGAGACAGCGAGTGGGATGTATGTTTCGACAGTTGTATCAGCTGCTTTGTATGAGCCAGGAAGAATGGCTACCGATGGACTAGATGTTGCTTTGTTCTAGAGAGATCTAGTGTGGTAGAGAGATGTTTGAGTGGAATGCGAATTTCGGACATGTGCAGCAGCACTGTTTTATGTTTCCAGAAAGCTTATTATATATTTTCTAGGTGAGAGCGGATATCAAAGCGAAAACTCTCCACCAGTTGCTTCCATCAAGCCGAGGTTTGGTGAGTTCATGTTTTTTTCTTTTTCCGCATGGTATTTTTACTTCTTTCTTATTTCCGTGAACTTGAATCTTTTTTAGTATGGAGGAAAATTCTTTTTATTGATTCTCGTTCTCTTATAAGCCAGTTCTATAATGTCAAATATCTAAAAAGTTAGCGGTACCGATTCTGGGGAAGCGATATCAGCATTCTTTCGCCGTTCTCTTAACAACTTGGCTGTAACTGCGCGAATAGTTTTTTTCGGTTGCTGTTTTAACTTATATCCCATCATCCCCTTTTAAATTGTAAGCTGCTCTAAGTTCTTCGGCAAAATTAGCTGATGTGTTGCTGTTGTAATGTGTTGCTGATGGGATATTTGATTCATGATCAGTGAGATGACCAGGTACTTCATTAAGATTTGACAATTACATTCAATTCTGCATAATGTATCCACAGTTTGTCGTCGTAGCGAAGTCGATGATTTGCCTGCAATCAGAATTTTTTTCCATCAAGTTTAACCATTAATGAAACCAATACCCCCACAAACTGCGACACAACTTCACTACGTTCCGAAGAGCTTTAACATTCTAGCATCAAGCTTTTATTTTATATTTTTGAATCGATGATTTTGGCAGCATTTTAGCAGTGTTTGTTGTGTTATATCTATCCGTTTTTTTGCGATTGCTCTGGCTTCTCGAACACACCTATTTGCAATCGATGCGCACAGCTGTTGAAGTTATTTTCATTTTATTGCTTTCCAGTTATTTATCCTACTTCATATCCCTAATTTCTTGAGTTTGTTTGTCTGTGTCTCTTTCATGATTGTTCTATATGTTGCATTTCACTATTACTACTTTTATTTTAAATATTTCTTCAACTCAAGCATATTCTGCCTCATGTCGGACAAACTTCTGAAGATTCTTCATTTTTTTCCGTGCATATAATTGTACCGTTTTTCTCTTATATGGCGTACACATCCTCATTCATTCACTGATTTCCATTATCTCTCTTTCTCCATCTCCATCATTCTATTCAGTGTTTCCTTTTTCTCTCTTCCTAAATATCTTTTTCTCATTGCAACCATTCCAACTGACCTGTCCAATACTAGCTCGCCCGCACCACTGAAACTAGGAATTTTCATTGCACTTGTTCTGATCTTCGTTCTTCTCTTCATATTACTTTTTTCTTTTGAATGCCCAGCTTTTTTCCCTTAGAGTACTCGATATAGCTCTTATTTCAGGCCCCACAGCTAGCATTCCAAGTGGTTCGAAGTTATCTGATCTCTCTGAAGTTCCTACAGGTAAACTAAAAAAAACATATTGTTGTTCACAAGGTTTCTGTTGAGGTGCGGAAAGTGCTCGCTCTTCAGTGTCTTCTAAACCTCTTTCTCCTCCTCCGTCCGCTCCCTTGAATACTGCTGGTCATTTCGAAGTTTCCAAAATGGATGTGGTACCACAAAAAAAAAGAAAAAAAAACAATTTGTCAATTACAGCTCAGCGAAGAAATTTGGCACTATCATAACTCAGTTACGCAAACAGATGCTATGTTAAATCAGAAACTCCATTTGAGGGACTTATTGTATTATTCCATTTGCCCTGTATTTCCAAGTAAGTCAAGTGTTCGAGGCACAGCAGATTTACCTTTTTGTAGTGTGTGGATTGTATGTAGTTGGGTCTTCGTTGAACGGGTTCGGCAACAATTCATCTGATATGGATCTCTGTCTAATGATCACAAATAAAGATGTGAGTATTATTAGGAAGTTGTTTTGAGAGTTGAAAATTTTTATTTAGCTTGATCAGAAAACTGATGCTGTAGTGGTTCTTAATATGATTCTCAACGCTTTGTCTCAGTTGGAGTGGGTTGCTTCACAGAAGCTGATTTTGGCTAAGGTAGGACAGGAAGAAGTTCTTTCCAATTTTCCTTTCCGATTCAGGTCCCTATTTTGCGAATCAAGTTTAGCGCTCCCTTCTCCGACATCACGGTGGATTTGAACGCCAACAACTCTGTCGCTATCAAAAACACCCACCTTTTATGCTATTACTCTTCATGTAGTTTTATTATGTATTTACTTCTTAATTTTGTTTTGTTAAGTTGATTGGAGAGTTCGCCCTCTTGTTTCTGTAGTGAAGGAGTGGGCTAAACGCAAAGGCATCAATGATGCGAATCGAAGCTCGTTTACCAGTTATTCACTGGTCCTCATGGTCATTCATTACTTGCAATGTAAGTTTTTTTTATCATTTCGATTGAATTCTTCGTGTTTGCAGGCGGTGCTGATCCCCCTGTTCTGCCATCTTTACAGCAAATGTACCCAAAAATGTTTTCTCCGAAGTGTGATGTACGAACCTTGAATGTTACTCAAGCTTTGCCTGCCCCGACAGACGATTGGGAATACAGTGACAAATGCACTTTAGGAGAATTATTAATAGGGTTTTTGGATTATTATGCTAACAAGTTCAAGTAAGACAAAGCTACTATATTTGTGTCTTATAAGATCATTCAGCTATGACCGAGACGCCATCTCAGTTCGACAAGGAAAAAGAGTAGATAGAGCCTCATTAGCTAGGCATAAACCTGCCGGTATGTCCAATGTAGGATCGTGGAGATCTCAATGGCGATGTATTTGCATAGAGGTTGGTGTTCAGGAGGAAATATAAATAACAAAAGCTTTTGTTCAGGAACCCTTCACATTATCTAACACAGCTCATTCTATATATGATGAAATGGTGTTTGGAGCAATTAAAAACGCTTTCCGAGAAGCTCATGTTGAACTTGAACAAAGCAGGGATTTGCAAAAATTATTGAATTGCAAATCGATTACAGTAAATGCTCCGATGGGAGGGTAATTGGAAAATCTTTCTCTTTCTTTATTAAAAATTTGCTTCCAGAGCTGTTGTCTATTCGACGTCCTACGATGGAACAAGAACTATTCTATCGGAAGCTTCGCCTTCCCCTCCCACTTCTCAGCCAAATATGAGCTTAATGCCCAGCGGCTCTGCAAATAGCTTAAACACAGCACAATCAGGTAGTTCAGCAAGTAGTAGTAATGGGGATGAACCTGACGAACATCCGAGTAATGAAAGGTGAGTTTGGAAGTGCAGATAATCTGTAAACTCATCCTACTCAGGCTACCATCTCTGAATGCGGGAATAATAATTCGTCGTCCTGCTGGAAATCGTCACTCTGGGCGGCGGAGGCATACTCGAAAATCTGCTGAAGTCTCAACGACACAAATGGCGGCTTGTCGTACTTAGGTTTTTGATCTCATTCCCTGAGAGTGCTGATTCCTGTATATTTCTTATTCGGCTTTCTCTATTTTTCTGTTAATTTAGTTAGTGTTTGTACAAAAATTGTTAAATAATCGGCAACAGAGGGAGGAAACACGCTATTCTTAGCAATCTGTTTCATATTTATTTTTTAATTTACTTTTTATCGAAGTGTGTTCCCCTGTTGCCAACAAAAAAAGTTATATAATTTACAGAAAATTTACATTATATTATCACAAATCGTACGGTGCGTTGTTGATTGTTTATGTACGGATAGCGGTATTAGGCACTTTGCCTGCGAAACCATTTGCTCACTTAAAGGGCTCTTCAGTCCTTTCACTTTTGTACGTTTTATTTAGATTACTAAAACCCAGAAAGACATTGTATGCTCTTATACTAAAGTGAGAGTATGAATGTGGGTTGCAGAATTATGTGCCTAAGCTCTTCCTCAAGTTTTATCGCTCATCTTTCCATAATTCTATCTTTCCTCTTTCTTTCAAATGTAGTTGTTCAATTGTGTAGTGTGATGGCCTATTATCGATGTTGCTCCACGGTTTTAATTCTATAGACGCTCTGTGTCTTTCCTTTTTTGCAGGTCTTCCTTGTCTTGTTACTCAACTTTACCGATTATTATACTATGTTTCCAATTGTGTTTGCTACTGTATTTTCTGATCTCTTGTATTTATCGGACCAGCTGATTTCAGTAGCAAACTGACGATTGAAGACGTGGTGTGTAATCGCTTTCCGGTTCACATTCTTCGGGATTTAATCGTGATGGAGGCGCGTTTCTCTAGTTTTGTTTGTAGTTGTAATTATTAGGCGTGTGCAAAGGTCGCCCCTTCCCCACCTCAATAAACTTATTTCCCACGATTATCCTGAGTTATCCAGATCCAACCATGATGTTTCCATATATAGATATATTATTGTGCATTTTTAGCTTTTTTTTTAGGACATCTCTTTTCTTATTTGTCCTCATCAGCTTTTAATTCACCAAGCATACTGAGCTTGTCCTCTTGCAATATGACTTGTATTTCCAATAGGTTCAGGATTGTAAAATCATAATAAAAAAGATCCAAGGCGTATTCTCAAATTAGCAGAGGAGAGAAAGAGAGAAGATTGACATGAACTTTTTCTTCACCAATATTTCATCGTAACGGAAGAATTAGTCGAAATGAAATCCTTCCTATCTGTCCCCACTGGCCAATCTCGAAGCCATCATCTATCACAAACAGTTTTCATGTCCAGAAGCTTTTCTTTCTTGTGTAAAAACTCAAGAATATTCTAGAAAAAATGATTCTCTCAAGTTTTCTAAAGTTTCGACTGCGGTTTGTACACTTCGAAATCGAACAGAAACGAAAAATGTGTATCAATGTTTGGTGTTTTGAACTCATGTCATAGATATGAGTTTGATTAACAAATGATGATGACTCTAAAAGAAAGTTCACAGCAAAAGTCATTCTTTTCTCTTTTTAAACTTTCTTCCTTGTCACTTCCAAACTGTTTTTTGGAAGGGGTGGAGTCTTTGCATTTGCTTTTGTTTTCAATCACTGAGATGAAGATGGCAATGACTGTTATCATTATAGTTCCCTATCCAAATTTGTTTAATGAAAAAAATTCACATCAATAATGAATCTGTCTTTGGACTCGAATGCTTAGAAAGAACAAGGAAAAAAACAGAAGCGATAAGGGGGACGCAAAAGGACCGAAGAAAAGTTTTATTGCTGGAGAGTTATTATTACATATCCTTCGTCATGTTTATCTGGTGTCCACTAAAATAATAGTTAGGCATACTGTATGAAAGAAACAAGCAAACAAGCAGCTTCTGTGTGTTTGGAAATACTACTAGAGGGACTGGAGAAGAAGAAGGAGAGTTTCAGTTAAAGGGTCAGCTAAAACTTGCTAGCTTTTCAACGACACTGTCCGTATTATCTTGCTGATAGATTAAGTCTCTAGGCCAATGATTGGGAAACAAAAGTATTCTTCTTATGAAAGACCAGTTCAATTTTATTACGAATAGCAGTTGATCGGTAATAAATGAACCCTAAAGTCGGTGGAATATCAAAGACTGATATCCCATTGGGATAAATATGCTAGTTGAGGACCCCTGCCGTAAGTAGAAGTCCTTGTGAAGAAGAAAGATGAGAAAGCTATGTGAGTAAACAACACCTGGAGTTCTGCTTATGTAAGTAGGGATATAAGCGTCATTAGAGACGGAATCAATGTTCATTTACGCAATCTATATCACTATTCCTAACTTGTTTTCTCTATTTGCTTACTGCATTGGGTTAGAACGTTCGAGAGAGCGAGTATTGCTTGGAAGAAAAAAGTTGAAACTTCTACTTATTACTTACATTGCATCTCCTCTTTATCTGATTCCTAATTTCTATACGGAAAGTAACAACTGAATAGCATAAAGAATCCCAAACGATAAACAACCGGTTTGCGCATTCAACACATTCCAAATGATTCACGTAAAGCATGTAAACAGCTTTTCTCTTGTCATTTCAAATCATGTGAGACCTTTAAGTGAATTTTTGTCATATAATGTAAATTCACAAAACTATTTGGAATTAAGACTTGAAAGCAATTGCTCAGAGAATCTTATAAATTCTCGAGAGAGCATATTACTTCCAATAAGGGCATACAAGAACTTATGAAAAAAATTTTATTTGTCAACAATAGCCTTGATCCCATAGCCGTACAAACTCAGGGATCTGACAAAGGCAGCTTTATAATTATTTTATTGCTATTATCAACGGTATACTAAATAAGATATTTTATCTTTTAAACTAACAGCTGCTAATTCCAATATACATTTTTCTTCTTCTCTTTTCTGTTTAAAACTATTTCCCTTCATTTCTTAAAATACTTCGATAGACAGTTGGATTTGTGACAGCTGTTGCCGAGCATCTTCTCTTCATTAAACATAGTCTTACTTTCTTTAGAAACTCTCATTTTTATAAACAAATACAATTCCAATGACCATTTGGACAAGTATCAGACTTAATTTTCTCTGAGCCAATCTACATACTTCTTTACATTCCATAATCTTAATCTATATGGGATTGCTCAGAAGCATGTGGTTTGGCCAGAACATTAGTCTCGACTGATAATTATACGAATATATGAATTAACATAAAACTTACTCTCGTCTGAAGTAGTAGACCGTCCTTGGCATCTGTTGAGCTTCGATTGAGCCCTTTCTTCCATCTACTCAAATAAGGTCGAGGGAGGTGAAAAAGGGCGGAGCTTTACACAATCCTACGGTCATTTAAACATAACATGGGTTATGGAGAGTTACAGAAAAAGAAACAGATGAATACGACTTAGCTTACAGAACGAAAAAAGTCAATCGATGTCTAAAAAAATTAATACAAACGCATTTCAGAGGTTGCAGAGACAACAGAGGAAGAAAAAACAGAAAGAGAGAGAGAAAGAAAAAAAGAGTGAAGAACTAAAGGGCAAATCCATCGAGTTTTTGTGGACATTTGTTCGCTTATCGATTCATTAGAATTAGAAGTTCTTCCAAACAGATTTTGCTTAAGCAAACCATTGGCTAGAAATATACATTTTCTCAAAAAAATTCATCCAAAAACTGTTAGAGAGGTCTTTGATATTTCAAAATGGATGAAATACCAATCACTTGAATGCAAAGATTGGTTTATATATTAAACAACTCGAAATAGATGGCGTTTTGATATTTTTTGCAGACGAGAAAAGAGAGGGTGAGAACAAGAGAGGGTGACGGATGAAGAGAGAGAGAGAGAGAGAGAGAGAGAGAGAGAGAGAGAGAGAGAAAGAGAGAAAAAGAGAGGGAAAGGAAAGAAAGGTAAGGATAGAAAAATGATCTAGATCAAAACCATTTTGTGATCTGCAACACTAAATCTGATAATGTTCAAAATCTCCTACTGTGAATAAATCAAACATGATTGTTATTGTAGAACTCTTTTTTGAATTTGAATATTCTCTTCCTCACAAACTTTTTATATTTCTTTTTCATCTACACTCTACTCTGATCTCTGAATCTCTCTTCTATCTTCTATCTTCTATCTTTCTCTCCTTCTTTGTCTGCTCTTCCACACCTTCATTTATTTTTCTTTTGTACTGTTTCTGACGAAAGTTTGCACTTGCGCAACTCATCATCAGCAGAAGAGAGAAGAGTTAAAGCTGGAGGGAAAAGAAAAATAAAAGATCCTATAAAAGAGGAAAAGAACAGCTGTTGTGTATTGGAGGTGATGAGGGTCGAATAATGGGGAAATCTGCTGTCAACTTGTTCATTTATTTCCTATGTCGAAAAAATTTTTGGATGTTCGAAAAGAACAAAAGAAAATTCGAAAAAGAGGAGAAAAGAAGAGAGAAGGAAGTGTTGCTATGGGATGAAGAGAATATTTGAAATTTTAGGGAAACATCTGGATTCTGTCTACCTACAGGTTCAAGGAGGAGCCTCAAAATTTCAGGAACAATTATTGAGAGAACCTTTTTTTTTCTTTTTTTTTGCACATTTTCGTTCTTGAGCGGCTGAAGAAAACTGGGCGATTGCACCATCGTTGTTCACATGTTTGAGGAAGAAACTAGTTGATGGAAATAAAAAATAATAATGTTTTTATTTTTCGTAATTTTCTAGCAAATGGCTCAAAATTAGTTCCTCTCAAGAAATAGTATGAGCCCTCTGATGGTTTAGCAACTAACTTAAGGAGTCATTGACAGGATAAGAATATAAAAATCACCTGATACTTGAAGACGATGGCATTTTCTTCACAGTAATGCTTTTTGCAGTATTATTGGAGTGGCTCAATTGGCTTAGACCAATTCTGAGATCTATTAAAGAACGGACTGGTTCAGACGAGTCAGAGACCTGAAGCTGCCGGCTACCACATCGCCGCCGGGCAGGACTGTGCTGAGGTTTAAGTGGGGGGAGGGCGGAGCTCCTCTAGGAGCAGAAGAGGGAGGGGGTGGAGAATGCGAAGAGCTAAAAGATGACGGAGAGGATCACAAAGAGAAAGATAGAAAGAGAGGAGAGAGAAAGCACAGTGTTCCGAAGTCACTTGATAGCTATCTTTTCTTCTCCCTCTTACACTTCTACACTTCTACCTTTCTCTCTCTCTCTCTCTCTCTCTCTCTCTCTCTCTCTCTTTCTCTCTTTATTTCTTCCTCTCCCTTTCTCTTGTTGCCTCTATTCCTTCTCTGTCTTCCTTTGGTCTTTTTCTTTCTCTCCATAACATATTCTGCACAAATTAAACAGTGTACAGTTGGAAGGGTTAGAACGGTGTGCGAAGCATATATAGAGGCATTTCGTTCATAAGAATATTAGAAAGTGTATATAGTTTGATCAACGGAAGAGGAGAGGTTGTTGGAAGAAGAAAATTATGGAAAGGCGAAAATTGAGAAAAACGTTGTATGAATTACACTTCGTAAGACATGATACAACCTTTTACCTTTACATTCTTCCTGAAATTCGTAATAAGAGATTAAAAATTACGGAATCTGAGAGGAAAGAGCAGTTTGAAAGTAAGATAAGAATTTAAGAGGCCGATGAAATCTAAAAAATACCAAACAAGTCGCACTCAAGCTAACCACAGATTGAAGCTAGCCACAGCAGACAGAATTTGCTCGTTTGCTTTCAATGTATGTCCTCCTGCGGTCTTTGGATAAAAAAAGACTTTTCTTCTCTCTTTTTCCTCTTCTCTCTCTCTATCTGTGTATATATTGTATGTGCCGGTACGATGTTATTTGTCTAAGCGGTCGAGAAGCACAATTCCAAAGTGCCGGCAAATAGTCGCAGATTAGAGAAGTCGAGACTCGGACGAATATTGACGGCCGTCAAAAACGCAACTACACAGTCTATCCATGACTTCTATCTCTTCAACTTTCCTTCATTACTTTCCACTTCTCTCTCCTACTTTATGTAAGACAAAATGATGGAATGGCTAATTGTTATTGACCAACTAAAACAAAACGAAAAAACTGCTCGGATTCATAATCGGCTTATCATCCAACGTAATCAATTTTAAAGCTAACGTTGATCTTCTGAGATCAGAAGACGTCAAGTTGTCCGTCAAGAGCGTTCCTCTCTACAATATTTGGACAATAGGATGAAACACAGTTTTCGGATTTGGACATAGCCTAGGGGTTAATGAAGAACATTTCGTGCAAATGCATATGTTTTGCGGGAAGTGACGATTGAATGATCTTTTCAGAATATCGGCTGCACATCTTATCTTTTTACTTGTGAATCAGTTATCGTGGGCGCCGATTAGTTACCGACTAGGTGGGGGTATAGAGAAAGAAAACAAAACAGGCTAAGAGTGAGATTATGAGAGAAAAAAAGGCTCTTACGAATAAAAAAAGAGGAAGGGAGATGGTGGGGGGGAGGGAGATGAAAGTAGGTTCATATACAGTATGAGAGTAAGATTTTCGCGAAAAAACTATAGAAAATCTGGGAAAATGAGATAGTTATACGTTTTCTATGAGTGTGCTTGTAAATCTTCGAAATGCTTATGATTTTTCTTCTTTTTAGACAATTTAAATATCTCAACAGCTGCCTTTTGATTATAGGAAATCTTAACATCATTCAAAGAAATATATCCGTCTCTCTTATTTGAATGGAAAACAGATGGAGTTTCAGTAGTTTAAGGTTCGTTCTACTACAGAAGAGAAAGTTGATGTTTTGAAGTTTTGTCATCTATTCCAAGACCAACGGAGACCAAATATGTAGAAAGACCATGTTGTCTAATTAGGTTGTGGGAGAACCAAGAGGTATATAGAGATATAAATATACACGCATATAAGAGAACGTGGAGAAGATTGTAAGACGGATAGAGAGGAAGATGGAATTTGAAAGAGATATACATAATATCTGTTGCTGACGACGGTGGTTGTAATAAATCCTGTGCTCAAAACCTCTTTTTCCCTTCCAGGATTGACCGGCTGCTGCTCCAAGTGTCCCACTTCTGTGAGGGGCAACAACTTTCTTGTTTAGAGACTTCATTTCTCCCGTTTCTCCTCCTACTCTAAGTGTAAAAAAGATAGAAAGAATTTAAGAGAGAGAGAAGAAAATTTGAAAGAAGAAAAAGGGAAAGAATAATGGGTGAAATTAGAAAAAAGAAATAATTAAATAAAATTCCGTAGGTTTGTATGAATTATTGATGAAAACGCTTGTATTCCACGGATATGCTAATGATGTTCTCACGTAAAGTGAATACGACTAAGAGTAAACTTTCTTTTGGCCAGATGACTTGCAGAATGGTTGTAAACTAGACCTTTTCTCTAATTAATAACTCTCATTTTTATTTTTTCTCTCATTTCCAGCTTATTTCTATTGTAAGCTCACACAACATTTTGTGAAGAAGAATAAGAGAAACTGAGATGTAAGAAAAAAATAAGAACGAATCTGAAATAATTGCCGAAGAATAAGAAGAGAAAAAAATCTTTTCTCTTTCTGTTTCCAAGAGACTGGATTAACCAGATTTTGTGAGCTCAAAAGAATGAGACGAATGATGCGAACTTGCTTAGAATAGATGAAAAGCATAACTCACGCTGAAGCTGACCTGGCCATTCAAACTATTTGTTTCACAAGTTGAGCTCAGAGGATGATAGTTTGTGTAAATATGTAGAAGCATCAAGAAAATAATGTAAATGCTTAAAGTATTTAGATAAGCCAAAAAAGCAATGAGTTCATCTTTCTCTTTCTTCTCTCATCTCATAATTGGAAAATATTCTCATATGTTTAAGAGCAGAGCATAAGACAGCATATTTTGAATTGAATTAGAAAACTACATAAAGTCTTGTGTGAATTCAACATCAAGCCGCAATCTGAGAAGAAAATAAAAGAAAGGTAGTTCATTCTCTTCTTGTATCTACTACTAGTGAACCGAGAGTGAGAGTAAATGAATTTCGGGAGACTTTCGATAACAACGACGACTTGAATTCAACTGTGAACGTCAACTACTACGTCCTCAATTCCCATCAGCCTTTTCTTGTCCCATTGACCCAAATTAGTTTTTCCTATCGGTCGTTTTTAAACAAGAACCCCCTGAGGGTCTTTCCTTTTCTGTTGTCCTTCACCATTAATCTTGAATACTTTCTACAAGTTTTTGACCAGTTTGATACTGTTTCTCTCTATCGGAATCTATTTTACTCTGTTCTAATCCCACTCATAACTGCTCGATCCTTCTCACTCTCACTCTAGTCGTTTCTTCTCATATTTTTATATCTTTTGGATTTACAGGTTCCCGTAGAGAACCTCTTCGATTCCAATAATACATCTTCAGAAAACTCACAAAAAAAGCGAGTCTTCTAATGAGGCTTTTCATGTTCAATCTTACTATCAATCTCATTGTTGATGCAAAACATTCAGCACTGTATGGATGGCCAAGTTTAATCTACAACTCTTTATGAAGTGCTTGGTAAACCTTAGTTATAACACAAAAGCAGAAATAAAACAGTTATATATATGGCACAGGTCATTCAAATCTCTGGCATTTAAATCATATAAGTCTTTAGATGAAAGACTTGTAGAATTGTGGAGAACATCAATTTCATATGGCACATATGTGATTGTCAAACAGTTTCAAATGAAATGAGAAGTAGGAATTTATGATCAATTTTCTCATTGAAGAGTTAATTGTCTCTCTCTCTCTTTTCCTGTCTTCCTCACTCGCTCTCTCAAACCCATTTCCTCTAAACATTACTTTGATTTTTTTGAATTGGTAAACTAGATCAACATTCTAGCAGAGAGAGCAGAAAATTCGGCGAATCATTTTTCCCTACGCAAAAAACAGAACAATAATGTCTATCAAAGAAGGTTACTATACCCTACAGCTCCTAAAAGCTGCAGATCTGGATATTGTCAAAACCACGGAGGACAGATATGTCTACCATGTATTTTCCAAAACCTCACCGATCAAGGGTCACAAAAAATAGAAGCAAGTATGTAGAGTTCAAAGCAGAGACTCTTCCATTACAACAAAGATTAAAGCAAAATTGTCTTTTGTGTAAGAAAAAAAGGATTACTCAATCCTGATATCTAGATTCGGAGTGAGTTGAGTGTAGCTATTTCAACACAGAGAGAACTCATTTGATATTTAAAAAAGCAGATAATTGATCAGTTTATAATACAAGGGCTACAGACAACGAGTGGGAACAAGCAACACCTTCTCTATGTATAATACAGTGATTCTCATGCAAACGAACTTGCTCAAAACACAATATTGGGCTTAATCAATAATTGAACCAAAAGATGAACATGTCCAAAATGGTGAAACAGTTTGAGAAGCTTCATTTCTGTATCGTTTAAAAACTGTAAAAATACTATAAATGCGAACTTCTTTTATGACTAAGCAAGATCATAGGGAAATAAATATTATTGAAAGCTAATAGTATTATCAAGAAGACGTTAATATGTACAACAATTGAACATATATTTTGCGTTTTGTTAGCTATACATCTTATCTATAAGTTTTCTTTTCGAAATTATTATATTTTTGGGTCATTCCTCTCTTGGCAAGCTCTTAGCTAATTCAATTGAAGGAGCATTACTGAAGTAATCCTTATCCAGCAAAAAATCATAAACTCCTTTATATATCGCGTGCATCCTGGTAATAGTGTTTTAAAAATGATATGAACCCTATGGTTTACCAGATAGCTAGAGCTGCTGTGAAAAAGGCGACGACTCCAATGTTGAATGGCCAGAGAGGTCCAAAATCACGTTCCATTTCCGCAACTCTTAAACGTCATTGTTTCACTAAAAGAAAACATGATTGGCCACCTACTTCACGAAAAGACCGAAAAGAGAGTTCGTCATTTCAATTCCAACAGACATAGCAGTGATTGATACAAACGCAAGTGTCATCAGTATAAGAATGACAATCTGAAGTTGGAGTCACAATGTGAGATTTGTACAATTCAAGTTTACTTGAATGAACGATATCTTGGTACGAATAAGGTTTGCTTGTTCTGTGATAATTCCATATGCCTGATATCATAAATTTAGATGCAGAAAAATAATAATAGTTACAAGTATTATAGAAGTGAACACGGAAACAGCGAGTAAACCCAGCATGCTGACCAACATCCATTTGTCCAGAGACTGATTAACTTCATAAAACTCTGAAACTCTCTCATTTTTCGTAGAGATTGTAATATGCTTACTATAAAAAGCAATAGCTCCTATTAGCATAACAACAAACTCCACTGTTGCTGCTACATAAGAAGCTGGCTTTATGTGCATCAAATCACAAGTTACAGGACCCGAATAAAAAGGATCATCTGGGCTAAATATAAAGTTCGCTGGCAATACATCAACCTTCTTCTCAGCTTTAGATGGAGACATTTCCTTAAAGCATATTGAAATGAAAAACGAATCATATAATGGAAAAATTGAAGAATACGACAAATAGTTCAACGTCCTATAATAGGAGTGCGAGGCAAGGCCGACCGTGATCAATAGTAGTCTGTGTACGCCTTCTGACCCACATCTTACAATGACGAATTTTATCTCGGTTCAGGCGATTAACTTTCTGTTAAGATCATATTTGAAAAAGCAAAACTGAATTTCTAGGTTGAAAATTTATTAGCTTCCAATAAAACAGAAGAATAATTAGACTAATTCACGCTCTTTGATACCCAATTTTCTGAGCTTGTCAAAGGCCTGAAAAGGATATGTTTTTCGAAACATTTTGAGAAGACTCCCCAACCTTCTTATGAATAATATTGTCGTCTGCAGTGACCACTGGCATTTTGAAAGCCTTTTTGTAATACTCGGTAGCTTCCTCTTTTTTACCGAGCCTATCGTACACTTCAGCGATATAAAAAGTGTTCGTACTGTAAAATCCAGACTAGAACAAGCTCATTCATTTGACAATTATTCTATTATTTTGTATTTTTACTTCTATTTCCTCTGCTTTCAGAAAATAATGCAAAGCTTCCTCGTACGTCGAACTAGGAGGAGTTCCAAAAATTGTTTTCGCAACTAGTCTTGTTGCGTACCCCATGTCAGCGAAAGAAAAATGCCAAATGCCTATGAGAAGAGAATAGATTCATAAACATATTCAAAGTCGTACCCAAAATATGCCATGTTGTTGCATCTTTGTCGTATAATTTCACAGCGTTCTCCAAATGTTCACGTACCAAATAGGACTTCTCGATCCTTGATTTGTTTCCTTCAATTTCCCCAATGTAATCGAGCAAAATAGCATACCTAAACAGAGTACTGTATCCACAACATGATCGAACTATCACCATTTATGAGCTCCAAAACAACCCTCAATGGGTTCATGTTTTAAAGCGTTTTGAACCACCTCATACGCTTCATACATTAACTTCTTCTTCTCAGCTGGATCTCTACTAAGCTTTCCTTTTTCACATAAGACTCGTGCAAGCCTCCATAATAGTTCAGAGCAGTCAGAGTTTTTATAACTAATAATTGGAAATTTAAATGAGTGACACTGCAAAAGATCATTTACCGAGCTAATAAGCCATATGCATTATCAATCAGGTAATTATCATATAAGGCATCGGTTTCGCGGAGAACCAAGTTCAAATCTTTAGGTCGTCTAGGTTTCTCTGCTAAAGATTCCTTTTCAGAGACAGATGGAGCAAACAAGGACACGGCTATTGTGCTCATTCCGCTTCCAAGAGCCAAATTTCTCAACAAAACGACTGACTTTTTCTGAATAAATAATTTTCTGAGAATTATCTCAAAAGCTCACCGGTAACTTAGTAGTTGTTAATGGAATGATCCTGCCCAACAGTGTGGATATTTTGAACATTTCGATGAGTCGAACAAATGTCACAGAATCTGATCAAATCGAATTACAGAAACTGTTTGCGGATTGCAAAGAAACAGCAGCAAAGATAATCGACAAGTACAAAGTTCAACATCGCGTAATATATGGTCGCAGGCAACGTATACTCCAACATCATACTTACTGTAGATGGAATAACTCATTAATCGACTCTGAATAAAACCAGCAATCGAAATGTAGCTACTTCCTCACCTCAACCCTAGTCACTCAAAATTGCCGTTTCTCGATTGTTTAGCGGTTAGGTGCGTATAACTATTCCGATTCCCGCGAACCTGATCACTCTATCAAAACTATGATAGCGAAGAACAACATCAGACCAAAGTTTTATTTTAAAAATTAGAATATAAATCAGTTTTTGCATTCTTCATATTAATCAGGTAACTAAGAGGGAAATTTTGAACCGGAGAAATACTCAACAATCACTATTCAAATTTTCCAGATTCTACTACATGAATATTGTAAGGCCTTCAAGAAAAGTGACACTGAGAACTTAAAGGACTGAAAGAGTTGGTTCTGCACAGACCTCGCTACATTGAGAAGGCAGTTCCTTTTCTAACAAAAATAGAACATAATAATACGTACTTTTCACAATTCAGTATAACCATAAAACAAGTTTAATTATATAGTGAAAACTGTCTTTATACTTTTAGAGATGGGTACTTTCACATTTTCTTATTTTGTCCAACGTGCTCTCTGGGACAAGCGTGGTCTCTGGGCGTTATCAGGAGCTGCGTTCTACTTTGGACACTGTTGGGATAAAGCAGGGATGGACAAAGCTGAGATGATGAAGGTGAATTGTATTTTTAGAATACTTCATCAATATACTTCGTTTAAGGGGCAATCCAAAATGTTTGCGAGCCGTCATGTAGCTGTGCCAAACGATAAGGATGCCTGGAAATATTGAATCACATTATAGTTGTCGTATGTATAGAAAAATAGGAATGCGTGATTTGGTGTTCTTTTTATGAAGATAGGATAGAACCTCGAGATATCTGATTGCTTTCTTCATTTTAAGTTGTTTCAGACTTTTGATCTAACATTCACAGAAGTGTAATGATACGAATTTCCATGTATTGCAAAGAATTGCTTCTCGTTTGTTAGAGCTGTATAAATCTATCCTAACATACACTGTAGTAGAGTAAATCTGTAATACAATCATTTGTATTTTGAACACTGTAACATTGCAGTTATGATTTTTTTAGATGAATTTAGATGATTTTGATTATTCGAACAAGGTCATGATGGCACCTATGGTTCGTGCTGGTAGAACTCCTTTGAGGTTTGATGAGAATGGCATTCTCAAATTTTCAGTTTCCAGAGTTCTTGCTCTTGATTATGGAGCGGACGTTTGTTATACTGAAGAAATAGTCGACCAGAAATTACTTTCTTGTAATAGAGTGGAGAATGGTTTGAACGTTTGATGTGCTTCATGTTCTTGACTCTCCACATTAGAAGCACTTGGTACCATAGACTATTGTATGCTGGATGACGTTGTTTTGCGAGTAGCTCCCAAACAGGAGAAGAATAAATGTGTGCTCCAAATCGGCACAAACAATGGAAAAAACGCCGCAGAAGTTGCAGTTAAAATGTTAGTTCGTTGAATCCGCAGAGTCTGAAGGTTTTGTAGAGGTAAAGATGTATCAGCTATTGATGTTAATATGGGATGTCCCAAGCCTTTCTCAGTCCATCAGGGAATGGGTGCCGCCCTTTTACAAGAAACTGATAAAATTAAAGATGTAACTCCAGAGTTTTTCGCTGATGAAATTTCATACTATTTTAGATTTTATGTTCTCTTAAAGCAGCAGCTTCTGTTCCAATTTCTTGTAAGATCCGAGTGTTAGATGACGTCTGTTTATTTTTTGGGTATTCCAACTTTTTCTCACATTTAGCCACATTTAACTTTGAATTTGGTTCGAGAAATAGAAAAGTGTGGAGTCTCGGCTATAGGAGTTCACGGAAGACGTAGAGATGAACGAAACCCGGATAGGTCAACTCATTCTTGCACATGTTCTTTTCTGTAATTGATTAGCTTTCAGGTGCAGACTGGAGGAAATCAGAGAAGTAGTGCGAACAGTATCAGTCCCCATAATTGCTAAGTTAGTTGTTAATTGAATCAAGCATAATTCAGTTTTAGTGGCATATCAGGAGAAGTTAATGATTTTGAAGACATTTCGAAGTTTAAATCGCAAACAGGTTCAACAAGTTTATTCATACTTTTCATTAGATATATACAGGTGCTAGTTCTGTAATGATAGCTCGGAAAGCTCTGCAAAATCCTTCTATTTTCCGGAAAGAGGGATTACTTACAATGGAGAACGATATTGTCAATTTTTTGGCAAAAGTATGTTGTGAACCCTTGAAAGACCATCGTGCTCATGAATTTATAGGCTTGTGAGTTTGATGAGAGCTATACAATGACTAAATACGTTGTTCAACGTATTCTTGGCAGCGAGCAAGAACATGATGTACGTGGGAAAGCTACTGTAGCAGCAGGAAGCGTTTTGGAAATATGTAAAGCTTGGAGTGTCGAACACGTTTATGAAGAGTTTCGACAGAAAAGGGCCAGACAGCAGTGTAAACGAAAATATGACGAAGAAGAAGATGGCACTCGTTATATAGATATAACATTCCCACTGTAAGCTGTTTGATTTCCTCGTATTATCAATCTTTGAACTGCAGAAAGAAGTTACGTGAGCCAAGAAATCTCAATGTTTCTCCCAAAACAGTCCTCCATGATTATTTGAAAGAAAAAGGTCAAGAAAAAGCATCATACTCTTGGGTACGAGTTCTAGAATTATATTGAACAATCTTTTATTCAGATTCGAAGAGATATTGATAAAAGATACGAAGGTGTTGTGGTTGTGAACGGTCAAAAGTTTTCATCCCGCAAAGGTCAACCAAATATTAAAATGGCTGAACAGGTTCAAGGAATCACTTTTCATGTAAAACATAATGTGTTAAGGTCGCAGCATTGTCTGCTTTAATTGGGATGAATATACGTGACCGCTTGAAGGGCGAGTGGGAGGAATGAAAAGATATCCTCAAATCCATGTTTCCTTTTATTTTCCTCTTCAGTCAATTTTTAGTCCGCTGATGAGGTCTATGAACTGTTGTTATTTTCCTATTTTGCAAAAAATCCAACGAATTTAAATACTTTTCGTAGTTTGAGCAGTGATAACTCATTTGCTCTGATTTCTGTTAAAGACATGAAAAAAAATTCAGATTCTAAAAGCGAATGCACCTGCGAAGAAATCTAGTTGTGAGGACTTTGCTGTTTCCCAGAACCTTTTGTTAGGAAAAGGGTGTACCTGACTCATATTGACCAACAAATTGTATTATTCGTATTGTGAGTAGGAAAAGTTCTTTTTTATTTAAATGAATGAGTTTACTTTTTTTTACTTGAGAAAAAGGATCGCTTGTACTTCACGCATCACTGCGTTCAACGGAGAAAGGAACAGCAAGAACTTCATGGCCAGCTGCAGCAATAATTACGTCCGACACTGGCCTGTCTCCTGAAGCTTTAGGCACTTTTTCGATTGCTCTAATAATATTCATTCCTTCTAATATCTGGAACTTTCTATATGAGCTTAACAAACGGGAGGAAAACAAACTTTTCCGAAAACAACATGTCGTCCATCAAGCCAAGACGTTTTCTTAACAGTGATGAAAAACTGTGAGCCATTAGTGTCTTTTCCAGCATTTGCCATTGAAACCCATCCAGCTCCATAATGCTTCAGTTTGAAGTTTTCATCAGGGAATTTTTCACCGTAGATAGATCTAGAAGGCGATTTGGTTAAAATTTTGAGTCAAACAGTTTTACCTTCCCCCTGTTCCATCACCGCGCGTGAAATCTCCTCCTTGAATCATGAAGTCTTCAATTATTCTGTGAAACTTACTTCCAACATAGCCTTCCCCCTTAAACTTTACATTAGATACTTAGGAAAACTAAAGATTTGCCTTAGGCTTCTTCGAAAGTTCAATAAAATTAGTGGAGGTTTTCGGTACAGTTTTCCCAAATAAGCCAATAACAACACGCCCAAGTATGTTTCCGTCTTGTTCTATGTCGAACCATACCTTATCAAGTTTGAATTTATCGAATTGTTTGTAGAACTTACCTTGTCAGTCACTTTAGGCCCTTTTGCCGAGTTCTGTGCTGCGACGAATCCGATGAAAAAGCAGTATAAAAACCCAAACCAACGCATGATAACTAGAAGAAAAGACTAACTGAAAGTAGGAAGATAAAAATTCTGACCAAACAGTAGATTTCACAATGCTTATTCTCTCATTAATCCAACGAACAGAAATTTATAAACAAAAATGAAACGCGTGGAGAATAAACATTTAGACTAATAAAGAATTGGCAATAGCCACCGATGCGATGCTAATGTGTCAAAAATAGTCTAACAGTCTTAAACAGGTAAATAGACCCGTAGCGTCTAACATAGTAAACTTACGTATACTACGTATAAAAAATTCAAAAATTACGGATTTTTCACAATATTCAACATTTTTTTATGACTGAAGGAAGCAAAGGGACCCCATTTGTGATGAAAAGGTACACAAGCTTTTCTTTCTTTCATTCATTCAGGGTTATCAGTGCTTCAGGCTTTTCTACTTTTCCTGTAGTTATTTTGTTCAGCATTTCATCATAGTTGCTTCAACAAAAAAAAACAGTCGTTGATTATCAACGGAAGTCAGGTGTAGGCATGGTCAGTTCGAACAACAAATAACCGAAACTCGATCAATCCGCTTAGCTTGTTTAATTGATTACAATACGTGTTCAAAGGGAAAAACGAATTTCGAATTGTCGTTCATCAGTAGAACAAATTCTTTCAACAAATCATCCCCTGACATAGACGTGTTACCAGGTCCCGATTATTCATAAGCTCACACACCCGTATAAGTTATGAATCTGGAAGTTATCCTGTTGAAATGTGGACACTGATGTTAGCTATCGAATCTAGTACATCGTTCCCCCAAGTTTGGGTCTCAACAATTAATATGGAAGTCAAAAACCTTATGCTTCATCTTTTTAAATTTGCTGGTTACTCATAAAAATTCAGTTGTGTTCTTTGTAAAAACTTTTTTAGAGTACGTGTGAATAGCTTGATCAAATCCATCGGTTTTTCAGTGTTCCTCCATATTTTCCCAGAATATATATTATATTCTTTTTCTTCACTCTCTAGCAGAAACTTTACTGTGCATATTTATTTATTTGAATTGTTTCGATTCGAAACTGGAAAGTAAGAGATTAACATTCAATTTTTGGTCTTTGGAGTTAAAGAGTTAGTTCATAATCCTCTTTCCGATTTTCTCAGTTCAGCATCAGAGACCATTGCTCTTACATCATTCTTTTGTAGTTCGAAATTTCTCTTTGTATGGAGTTAACAATTCTTTGAACATGATGGTTCAGCACGTATGTCATTTTCTCCCCCCTTCTCGGAAGTAATAATTTCATTCGTCTCCTCAGACTCCTGTTCTTCACTTTGAAACCTTTCGATGGTAAATTTGTCTTTCTATGGAAACGGCATAGCTCACTAGCGCACTTTGTGCATTGAATTTTCTCGTTCTCTCAAATCAGGGATTCATTTTTTCTTATTTGGTTCCGTTTACGGTTTTAAATATAGATGAAGAAAGCTATACGATTCATTTCGGGCTGAGTTCGGAAATTTTTCTTGACTGCCATAGCACCAGAACCTTCAACAGGTTAGCTGAAATACAGTACTAGATGAGTAGCTTGTTAGAAAGAACCTGGAAAGGTTGATAGTCCTGAAAAGAAAAAAGTGATTCTTCTTTTTTTTTTGTTTTTGTCAAATTCTTGTTCATTTTCAACATCAAGTATCTATGTAGATGATTCTTCAATTTTTTCGTTTCTCCTGCAGAAAAGAGAAGTAGTCTTTTCGTTTGTCGAATTTCTCAACTTGATTTTTGAATTTGTTTCTTTCACTTGAGTTTTTCCTGCTTCGATCAATAGTTCGAACCCCTATTCCTCACTACGGATAACTCAACTTGTTCTCTGTTGGGATATCGTGCAAAAAGGAAATCATAATAAATAATGAATAAGGAATCTTTTTCTTATGTAGTCATATCTTTGCTCCTCATTTCTATCTGATTTCTATCAATCTCCGAGGTTACTCTTTCCATTGATGAGATATGTTCGCACATTCTTTCTGTGCTTCCACCTGCTCTTTGGAGAACTACTGTTTGTAATGATTTCTGTAGGATTCCCCGTCGATTAACGAAGTTTCACTATCCGGCTAACAAGCCGATTATTCTTCAAATTTGGTTTTTTTCGAATTTTATGTTTGTGTCTTTAAAACTGTTTTGTTTGAGTGGTCACTTTCACTTCTAAACTGAATCCTCTCACGTTGTGAACAGCTCTGCCTCACATTCGAACATGAATAGGATTCGATTCCTTGTAATCACTATTTATAGTTTGTTATTGTGTATCTGAAAGGTTTTGAAAAAATTCTCTCGCGCGCGCGCGTGATCTACTGACTACAACAGACGGTTGTGATCACTTCCTCATAGCTTTCGTCAACTTTTTATCTTTTTCCACCTAACC